AGTACGGTTTTTGTAATTCGACTTCATAAAACGAACCTTTTGATTTAACGCCCCTCCATATCTTCCAAAAGATACGTAAGAGGGAAGGAACCACTTACTTTAACAATCTTGAAATTTTCGGGGTGTCCAATTAATTTCATAGCTTTTGTCAAAAACCGATTTTGTGCCACTTATGCTCACTGCAACGCCAGCTTTGAACTTTGACTTTTCCACTGCAAATTTTTTTTGGTAAATTATATGCGAGAATCTCCGTTGTTGGGGTAATTTCTGAAGGTTTCATTCCGGTGGTACTATGTTTTGTTTGAATATATTTTGTTGTTATTTTTTTTATTATTTAATAAAGTTATTTTTACGCAATTACTTGTTTTTTTTTACTTTTTTATGGGGGGTAAGGATAAAACATACACACACACTGAATTTTAAAAAACATTTATTATTATTAGTTTACAGGTAAATTTCTATTAAAACACAGGTATGTCCCATGCTATCCTTTTGTTGATATCTTGTTTTATCTGCATTTTTCCAAAACGCATGTAGTCCTCCATGCAGTAGCTCTGCTCACTCTCTTCCATAGAACATAAATATTCTATATGCGGAAAGATTTTGGCGCCTTCCAGCAAATTTTCATCTATAGTCAAATACAATATTCTATCGTAGTACTCGTAAAAGTTCAAACGAGACAGTACTCGTATTCTTTTAAATACCAATTTGCTTATGGTAATTAATTCCTGTACCCAGTCTTTCGAAATATAGAGTATACCCTCGCTATTTTCAATCTTGACCAAGACTTCACCATCACATTGTAGACAGCTGAGTTTGAAGCAGGTTAAATACATAACTTTACTACGGGCCTGCTAACAATAACAGTGGAAGCTGTTGTATTAATTCTGTGAAGTCCATCTCGTCGAACGAAATGCTTCTTTTCTCCGACAAAACGTAGGGGAGAAAGCTCACTTTCACTGCCGAAGCGAAGATTCTTGCTGGGCTAAGACCTGAGGTAATTTCTAGTCCGAATTCCGGCAGCGTAATTGCTGCCTCGTAAATGTATTTTTGTTCGCGGATTATTTCCGCATTGACCACAAATCTTCCCCACGAATCCAATGCTTGCGTTGGATAATTTTCGACTTCTGACATTTTTCTCACTCTGCACTTAACACGAAATTGTATGAGTGGAAACTGAATAAAAAATTAAAATTTCTTATAGCTTATATATGTATAACCCCACCCATTCCCCAGATCCAAAGCGAACGCCGCACAAACTTGTTTCGACAGGAAAAAAACCTGACGGAGAACCTCCATCCATCCCACTTTTTTTTAGACAAGCTCTGACAAGAAAAAAAAAAGTACGTATCAAATAATGCGCCATTTTAAAAGGGGACATATTATCAATAGTGAAACTATTTATATTAAGATATACCTTTATCCTCTTTGCAAATAATTTTCTACTCGCTCACAGGTAGGATCATGAAGATCCTTCAATATTTTGTTGCACCAGGTATTTAGCTTAGCCTAGAATTCTTTTGAAAAATTATTATTTTTAAAAAAGGCGCGCGCTAGATCAGTTGCCGTTTCAGCGATATTTCCTTGTTTCCCGTGTCGGAGTTTATCTCTTTTCTTTTGTGCATATTCTTGTTTTAATTAAATCTTGATTATCTTTTTATGCCAATTTTGACGATCATCTAATTTTTTGTAACTAAAATTAATTCAATAGAAACAATTAAGGCGAGATGATGCCCGGCAGCTGTTGTATTAGGTATGAAAAAATCAATTTGGATGAAGGAGATGCTTCTTTTGTCCCGACAATGTACAAGAATAAACCTGTCTAACCATAGCAAAATGGGCCCAAAACTGTGACACTAGGCGAGAGTATGCGTTATTTGGAAGTTAAATTTTAAAAATCCTTTGTAAAATATTCACGGGGAGGGTGTCAAGGCGTCAATTTTTATAAACATCGGAGGTCAGTGTCGGAGAAATAAGGGTTCTTCCCTTTTCTCCTCGTCTCTTTTTAACTCCGTTTTGAGTAATTTGTAATAATTTGAGAAAAAAAAATCCAGTACCCGAAAAATGGACACACATTTGCAAGCAAAACAAAAAAAAATAGGATACAAAAAAAAACTATAAAATATAGGCGCCAATGCAGGCAATAGTTTAAATACGGGAAGTTACATTTTTAAACATAAATTCAGATTTTCGGTGGCAATATAACTCTATTTTTCGTGTTTGTTAAGAACCAGGCTTTGGAAACGTCTGGTTAAGGCCACAGGCCATTAGCTTCTAAATAAACGCGAGATATCATGAAAACCGAAAAAGTTTGAATGGAATCTAACGTTTCCTTTTGTTTCTCAAAAATAGTAATTAAGCGGAAAAGTACTCGTAGTATATTGATTAATTGCAGAAATGTCTCATTTTCTACAAAACAACTTAAGTTAAATAAAATGCAAATTAAATTATTATAAATTACCGCTTTGTTGTATTCGCTATTTACTATGCCCCAACCTATGACGACACTGGAGGGTAGCTTAAAATTTGACCTGCTTGGTTTACCTGCCTTTCGTAGGAATGCGGGTTGTTTCACGTGTCAGTCGAAGTTTAAAGAAGCGTTTGTGTTAAGGGTTCGTTTCTGTTATCCGCGTTTGTTGCTTAATGCAATATCGCCAACGAGTTTAAGTTTTGTGTTCAATGTGTGTTTCATATACGGATAAATAAAACAAAAAAGACTGGAAAAAGATAGGTAAGAAGCTTTCGGAATTGCGACTTTAATGAGTAACCGCGTAACATTTTGACCTAGTATTATGTATATGTTCGACGAGGTTTCTATACTTAATTTAAAAAAAATTGGGGAGTGATCAAAGGAGGCTGAGGTCGGAGATACGGATCTTGTTTAGTATCAATTTTTGTTTAATAAAACAACCAAAAATGCTCGCTTACGTTTTTGAAGTAGGTAAAAAGGAAACAGAATTTTAATAGAAATAACGCACGATATATCTTCCAAAAAATTCAGCCATATGAACAACGCGAAGAAGTTAAGCAGATAAAATTTTACAAGATTTTTGGGGGGGCCAAGTGTAAATTCGGATTGTGGAAAGTAACAGATAGAGAGAATGAGTGACCTATATAGAAAAAGAGAGACAGAAAGGTAGATTTATTTAAACGTTTCTCGATCATCCACCCATCGGAGATAATAAATATAATTCGCTAGTTTTTTTTGCATGTATTGAGTTAAGTTCGGAATAGAAATATATCAATAGTAACAATTTAAATATGGTAATTTTTGGGGATTGTTATACGTCCGCCAGCGTATTAAAAATATGGTTTTAGGGGTTAGAACTTTTAAGTTTCAAGAAAAAAAAAACTCATGTTGAAATTTTTGTATTCGGAAGCTTCTGTTGTTTATTAATTTATAGACACTGGAAAATATAATAATAAAACATCCTACAGTTGACATACGTGTCCTCTTAAACTCGAAAAGAGCTAATTTATCTTAGAAGAGTACGTATTTTTGGTAAAATAGATATTTTTTATATTAAATATTTGACCGATCGATGTAATTCGTCAAGCAGAAACCGAGAAGAAAAGTGACGCTTGTGGTGTTTGCTGACAATCCGACCCTGCTTCGTGTACAAATGCAATGACATTTCGGCAGGGCTATAGGCTACGAAACCTTTCAGACTCGAAAAGGACGAACTGTTTTAAAGAAAAAAGGTTCTTCATTTTTGGTAAAAGTAATAGATAATTTTTTTTTTACGCTAAATATTCCACAGATCGATGTAACTCGTCAAGCAGAATCCGAGAAGAAAAGTGACCGGGGGTGCTGTTTGCTTACAATCCGACCCTGCTTCGTGTACAAATGCAATGCCATTTCGGCACGGCTATAGGCTACGAAACCTTTCGAACTCGAAAAGGCGCTACTAATTTTGAATAGGTACTTCATTTTTGGTAAAAGTAATAGATAATTTTTTTTTACGCTAAATATTCCACAGATCGTTGTAACTCGTCAAGCAGAATCCGAGAAGAAAAGTGACCGGGGGTGCTGTTTGCTTACAATCCGACCCTGCTTCGTGTACAAATGCAATGGCATTTCGGCAGGGCTATAGGCTACGAAACCTTTCGAACTCGAAAAGGCGCTACTAATTTTGAATAGGTACTTAATATTGGGTAAAAGTAATAGATAAGATTGTTTTACATTAAATATTTGACAGATCGATGTAACTCGTCAAGCGGAATCCGAGAAGAAAAATGACGGATGTGCTGTTTGCTGATAGTCCAGAACGGCTTCGTGTACAAATGCATGGCGGGGAGACCAGAAAGTTTTCGAAACTGCGTGAGTGGAAGTCTGCGTTGGACAAATTTTGAAAATATCTGAAGGTTTAACGAATTTTGGAGAATTCGACAGAGCTACAGACTACGAAACCTTTCGAAACGAACACACGTGTCCTGTTGAACTTGAAAAAAGACGAAATTATTTTTAAAAAGGTATATTGTTGCTAAATAATAGATTTTTTTTAATTAAAATATTTGACAGATCATGGTAACTCGTGAAGCAACATCTCAGAATTGAATCGGGGAACGAGGAATCAAAAAAAGGTTAACAATTTGGATCATTTTGGAAGATACATACGCCGCGCTTTTCAAAGCGGACAGACGTGCCCTTGTCCAACTGAAACGAACACACGTGTCCTGTTGAACTTGAAAAAAGACGAAATTATTTTTAAAAAGGTATATTGTTGCTAAATAATAGATTTTTTTTTAATTAAAATATTTGACAGATCATGGTAACTCGTGAAGCAACATCTTAGAATTGAATCGGGGAGTTGTGTATTTGCTGGCAATCCGGGCCTGCTTGGATCATTTTGGAAGATACATACGCCTGCGCTTTTCAAAGCGGACAGACGTGCCCGTGTCCAACTTGACAAAGGCGGAATTATTTTAGGAAAGGTATATTATTTGTAAAAAAAAAATATATACAATTTTTAAGTAACATATTTGACAGACCATGGCAACTAGTAAAGCAGAATCCGAGAATTCAATCGGCGGCTGTATGTTGACTGACAAGAATATAATTGCTGTTAATCCGGCCCTGCTTCTTGTACAAATGCATAGTGGGGAGACATGAACATTTTTCGAAATTGCGGCCCTATCCTCTTGGGATTTTACGTTGGACAAATTCTGAAAACGACCCAGAAATATAATTGGTGAGAAAATAGTTTTTTTTGTTGTGTTAACAGTTAACAATTTTTTTTATTTTGGAAATAAGGGGGTTTCAGTATGTACTGGTAATAGTGAATCAATTTAATGACCTCAGCATCTCTAAACCCCCATCTTGAGACGCGTTAACGATCCGGATCGAGTTACGTCGCGTAATTGTGTCACTTTTTTAATTAAAAAATGAAAGAGATGTACCTACCATACTTTAGAAACCCCCTACTCCCCTTTGGAGGTGATGAAATAAGTTTTGGCATAAAATATAAGTTCCTCGTATTACTTTGATATGATAAGTATAAGTCTTGCCTGTTTTTTTTTTTAAAGGAGGTTCAAACCCGTGCGAGGTGAGGTTTGATATATGAAACAGACCAGTCATGGGGACACGAGATATGGAAAGTTTCAGCGTAGTCGTCGCCAAATCAGGTAAAATTTTGAAAACACATATTTGTGGCAATATAGAACCTCTCTTTTTTTTAACAGGAATATTGAGACTTAGACCAGTATCTTTTTAAGTAGGCATGTGGGGTAAAGAAGACGCAGAAGCTTCAGTCGGGCACCTTCGGTAACGTAGGCGGTTGATATATTTCCACCACTACATATGTTGGATTGGAATTTCCCATTTGATGCTTTGACTGACTAAATGAGGAAACTTGGAGGTAAGCTCTTACGGAATTCTATCGAGATATGTTTAGTAACATATTGGTGCATTACTCTGTCTTCCAGTCAGTTTCACATAAACTTTGCACGTATTATAGAAATGCCACCTACTTTTTTTTGTGTTAATATTATTGAAAGTAGTAGCTGGTAGCTGTAGTCGTAAGCCCAGAGAGTCTCTGTTTTGAACATAATACACAAAATGGGGCGTTCAAAAACAATAGACTGCATGCCTTTTAGAGTCGGCGTAAACTATGGTCATATACCCCTGATCAAATTCAGAACTAGAAAATCGTTGTGTCTCTGCATTAAAAATAATAGTAAAATTTATTGTAGGCACCTAGTAGAGTATCGAAAATTTCCATTTTTAGTGCCAAATTGGTTACTCCAGTAAATTCCAACTGTTCTAATTTTTTTTTAATAATTTATGATGTTAGTGAGTTTCATTGCGATTATTTGTTACTTAAATTTTCTGCGTATTAAACCTTAATTAACAATACGCTATTCGTTAACGCAGGTAGAATTAATGACGCTGACTGACCTGATTTTGTCCAGGGGGGCGTAGTACGGTAGTTTGTACTGTGATGTTTGGTAGTTTGGCAGTGAGCTCTCATTTATGAAACTGGGGAATGTTTCGTTATCTTCAAATCGTAAACACGTATCATTAGAATTATATTTTTAAAATATTGATTAGGACATGTACTAAGTAACTAAATGCTCTAGCGAAAATATTCACACATATTGCGGAAAACGTACAAATTTAAATTAGAGAAAATTAACTATTTTTAGAGGTTGGTTTTTCAAAAAGGTGGGGATTTAGTTAAAGAACAGATAGAGACTAAAGGGAAGCTCTATGAGAAAAATTAGAATTAAAAAGTCGATGTTTTCGTGTCTTAGCGAAAGATGGATTATTATTAAAAATAATACTTGCATTAATTGTTGTCACCATTTGTGAAAAATATGGAAAATATCCTCTAGGTTCGCATACCTTTTTTTTAATTTTTTAAGGTGGCTAACAAAATACACAGACAGAAAAGTTTAGATCCTGTTCGTTAATGTAGCGCATAGAAAAAAATTAGAAAAGAGAACGTTTCGTGTATGGCATACGTAGTTAGTACGGAATATTAATCTGAAGGCTGCAAGACAGTGAAAGAGTGATGCGCTTAAGTATGGTTCAGAGAGGTTATTTGGGCTGTAGAAGTTTTTCTTTGAACAGGGTTCAAATAGCGTCTCCTAGAGCGTTAGCAGAGAAGAGTATTACAGTATTTAATATAAGCGTCCAGATTTCATTATTGTTGAGATTGCATAGAAACACACTTTCATGTAGTAGTCGCAGCAGCTTTAAAGTATATGACTTTTTAGTTAAGATGCCTTTCGAGTTTGCTTTATGGATTGATAGGAAATTAAAGGGTAGATACAGATAAGTTACGAAAAAAAGTATGTACACTATCCTCAAAGATCAGCAATAAATAAAAGAAATTGATGAAATAGTAAAGTTGACTGCAATATCTTAAAATCATCAATAAGATAGATAAATTAATTTTGAAAATATTAAATAATAAAAATAGCAAAGAAAATCAAAATCATCAATAAGATAGATAAATTAATTTTGTAAATATTAAATAATAAAAATAAAATTATAATAGCAAAGAAAGCCTACCACGGCCACATACACATAATATTTTCGACATATGAACTTTTCCCAGATAAATAGTCAAATATTTCACGATACCTTAAAACAGAAGCATGCGGAAATATGTATGAAGTTAACGCACGGTAGATGGCTTAGTAAATTAAAAAGGTATACGGTTTCTAATATCCTACTTTATTAATGAAAATTTTAACCAGCTTTTTGTTTTGCAGATATTATTGGTGGTGCCTGCCAGCTTCCAGTTCCGAGAAAAGAAATCCAACACTTTTCGTCTCTATTTCCCCTGTCCTTTGTGCGCAATAAAAGTACAGTTTGTACCCGCGAGGGTACACATTCGCAGAATTATATGTTTTTAAAATAAATGTTTTGGTCAATATTCACTAGGTGGGGTTACCTTATTAAAGAAAATCTTATTCCAAGAGGGGACACTAGTTTACATTCGAACCGCTAGGGGGTGCAGATGGTCACGCGAACAATATGAACAAGTCTCATTGACGCCATTGCTTTTCTTAGGGGTGGGAAAATATCTGGGCTCTGATTGGCTTCGCCGCCATCGCAAACTAGAGGTGGGGAGATTGATTAAACCGCATTTCTGGTTGCTTATCCAATGGGGACCAGTTTCAAGGGATTATGGGTAAAGGCGGAGGAGCTAGAGAGTCGTGGGGAAGGGGGATACGCCCACAAAAGGGAGAGGAGTGGGGGAAGCCTATATTATACTTAATCACTACTGAAAAGACTCCTCCTGTTTTTCTGAACGGCGTGCGGACAATGTTCTGAAAGCAGAAAACCATATCAAAGTCGTATAGGAGCATCTGGAAAACCCAATGAACCCATAAGGTTCCTAACGAAAGAGTCTTACGACTAAGAAAAATAAACTCATCAGCTGTTGCCGAACACACTCATGAAACCGGGCATGAAATTTTATTCGATAAACTAAAATTCTTGCATGTAATCAGTTCTTCTACCAACGAAAAATCTATAGTCTATAGAAATCTATAAACAATCTTACCCGCGACTCAGGTCTCTACCTGTCACCAATATGGGAATCAATCATCCGAGACGATGATTATGCCCCTCATTTAGCTCCGGTCCCCGTAAAACAATATATAAGCAGGTACAGAGTAAAATACGAGCCAGTTTCAGTCCAGCTTTGAAGAAGCCGACTGAATGATTGGCGAAACGGAAGTTTGACTCGCATGGAAGGTTTGAAAACAATAGAGTAGGAAGGTCTAATGAAATTTTTGAAGATATTGAATACTATTTATCTTAAAATCTAACGCAACGGTTCAAACAAGATTGCTTTCGAAAAATCGTCACTGGGCGTGGCAAGTTCATGCACCCTGTATAAAATGTTCTTCACATCTCGTCGAACTTTAAAGTTACAGCAAACATGGGTAAATATTAAAATTTGTACAAATAATAACGTTGTCGAATGATATTCGTATGATTGATACGTATAATTGACGAACCTGAAACTCTCTCACGACACGCTTTACAATATTGTTCAAATAAAATTTTCTCAATTTTAACGGTTTTTCATTTATCGCCAATTATCTACCCACAAGCGGAAATTGTTAGGATATTTTAGATTTTTTGCCCATAAACGACACACCCTGTATATGATACAATCATTGTTCGAAGTAGCGAAGAGGAAAGCCTTCGATTTTCCACCGTCCTGGTTCAAGAATTTTTTGAAAATAGTAAATGGTTTTCGAGAAAATAAGTTTTCCCTGAAACCATGCAGTGCGCTGTTATAATCAATGACGTCATGGCGTCTTGACAGCCCCCGAAATAGCGATTTCAATATGGATTTTTTCAAATATCCCGAGCAGCGTATGTGATAGACGAAAAGCACAAATACAAAAATTGTAGCTCTTGATGCAGCCTATGACACCGTTCTTCTTAGACGTAGATGTTAGACCCGGAGACCTTCTAGATAGTTTCGACATCGTGTCCTTATTTACCAACATACCGGTGGACGAAGCATTGGACATCATCATCATACCAATAGATACCATGGACTTAACTAGACACTGCCTTAAAAACACATATGTTATCTACAATGACAAAAGGTACAAACAAATAGAAGGAGCACCGATGGGATCACCTTTATCCCCTGTAATAGCCAATCTCTTTATGATAGCTCTGGAAAAACGAGCAATAGAGACAGCGGATTACAAATCAAAACTATGGCTACGATATGTAGACGACACTTTCACCATCTGGAACCACGGGATAGAACAACTACACAGATTCCTACAACACCTAAACGAAGTTCATCCGAAGATCAAATTTACAATGGAAACCGAAGAAAATAGCCAACTGCCGTTCCTAGACGTTACGATAATAAAAAAGGAGACCGGACACTTAGACCACACAGTATACAGGAAGCCGACTCACACCAACCGTTACCAGAACGCCAATTCACATCACCATCCGGCACAATTACAATCAGTGATCACGACATTGATCACAAGATCAGAAACACTGGCAGGCGGCCTTGAGACAGAATGGCTTCTCCGAGTACAATATAAAGAAAACTCCTATAGCCTATAGCCAAAGCTCTCCTACCTTATGTCAAAGGAACAACAGACAAAATAAGCAGAGTCCTTAAGAAAAACAAAATAGCAACAATCTTTAATTCAGACAAGAAAATTGCCAATGTAATTCCATCAGCAAAAACAAAAATCCCACTGGAGGACCAAGGAGTGTATGAAATACCCTGCAAGGACTGTGACAAGAGCTACATTGGCCAGACAAACAGAAGGATACAGGTACGAAGAGACCAGAAGACGAAAGAACTTCCTCAATAGCCCACCATGTAAGGAATACTGGACACACAATAGACTTTAACAACACAAGGACAATTGCTAGAGAGGAACACAAATATAAAAGAATAGTCAGGGAAGCTATCGAAATAGAAAAACACCAAAATAACCTAAACACACGTTGCGTATCGTAACGATTACCAACAGCTTGGAAACCGATTATAAAACCAACAACAAGAAAGAGGGCAGCCCCAACTCCACCTCGTCGCTCAGGCAACGATAACGCCCTACCGCCAACCACAAGGAGCCGTACCCGTGCGCAGCCAACCAGCACAAACCAGTCGGCATATAAAGCAGCGACAAACCAGCCGAGCACCAGTTCAAGCCGAGTTCGGACGAGAAGTATAATAGAATGACCCGACTTGAAAATGGCAAGTGAGATCTCCCAGCCCCCCCATTTTTAATACGTTCCGTCACGGGGCAAAGCTGCATGTATGTGTCAAATATGAAGTCGACCTTGTCGAGATATAAAATTTTTATACTAGCGCAGATACTTTCGAAAATTCGGTTTCATCGATTTTGGAAAATAACAAGACTAATTATGGTACTAATTAAGTAAGAAAGACTTCTAGAAAAAAAGATGATAAAGAACTGAAGAGGCAAAATTTAACGTATGTATCCATATCAGTATAACCCGAGATGTTCAGCCGTTCGTCCAAATACTATCGCGTTAGGTCTTATAAGTCCGGCGACTCTATTCGTTTAAGTTTATATCCATCGAGCTCCCCCGGGACGATATCGGATAATAGAAAATGGATTTACCAAGGGTTTGGGAACCGCCGATTGAAAAATTTCGTTCGTAGACAAATAGTTTCGTTTCTATCATTTTTAATACGACAAATCCGGCGCGATTGAAAAGGGGTTTTCCATTAAATGGCCTCGAAATCCCACAACCGCGGGGACGGTTTTCGGTTTTCATCCGGCGAGTAAAGACTTTTTTAATTGCTGTTACCAATCTTCGAGTTTCAGAGCTTTATCGCCGCCCGCATCTGCGCCGCTTTACCTTCGTTATAATCGTCTCGATTTTCTATAGCTGGAATATAGCAATTTACTTCAAATCTGAAGACGTTCCTTCTGAACTTAAAGTAAAGTACAGAAACCAATCATAACACAAGGAAAACAATTTCATTTTCAATTATGAGCATGAGCTCCAAAATTTCCAGAATGCACATAAAATGTCTTTTCAGAGTGACAATCAAATAGAGTTTGCAAATGATCCATGACACAGCAACTCAAAGAATTCAACGTTAAAACACATTTAAAAATGCAACCAACCAGAACCGCTCCGCTTACACTCAGAACCAAAAACCTTTTTACAAATTAATTGTACTGCTCTACAATGTATAATTTCGTTAGTTTTGAGAAACGGTTTACGTTTTCAGTCTTATTATTGCTCCGCGATTAATTATATAATTGACCAAATGACAAATGTACAACACAGTTTTCTCAAGAATTAAGTTCAATAAATTATTATACAGACTACCCCCACGCACTTCCATACCTCAAAATCGATTCAACCAAGGCCCGGTACAAAGAAACCAACACCTTTACACTAAGCACCTGCGTAAATCATATGTGGCTGAAGTTAGATTTGGATTTGGATTCGGATTTGCGAATATTACAGTGGACCAATTCGTTATTTCCAGTAATTAATAAAATGTATTCCTGTGGAACTGGCGAGAAATTAAGCACGGAAATAATGTAAGGGAACTCCCAAAAGCCATATTCAATGTCGCTATACAGAAAATAACACCTTTTCGCTTGTATCATAGCAATTTAACTAATATTTCGCAATCTTGAAAAAACTTGAAAATGTCCCAGATGTTCAACCAGACCATTGGAGCTTCAAAATAATGTATTACTCAACCACCTTGAAACTATCGGCAATATATAAAACTACCCTCAATTATGAAGTACCAAAAAGTTCGTTATATTTATTTCGCAATCTCAAAAAATTCTGACGTTGTCCCAGATATTTAATTAGGCCATTCAAGAGCTTCAAAATGATGTACTACTCAACCACCTTAAAGCGATCGGGAAGATATAAAACTACCCCCAATAATGAAATAACCAAATATTCGTTTTATTTATTACGGAATCTCAAAAAAAAACTGATGTCCCAGATATTGAATTAGGCCATTGAAAAGTCACTTGGGAGAGCTTCGAAATGAATCTATCACCTTGAAACGGTCGGGCAGATATAAAACTGCCCCCTAAAATTCGCCATTATCAAAGTAGAGATTTTAGCGATATTCAGGAAATTTTCTAAATTTTATTTGTGCTTTTCATTCTTATATTTATTGGGCCCTTAATTAAAAGTTGTCTGGGACGACATTTTCGCACTAATTTGAGCTTTCGGGATTAATAACAATTGCATATTATGTTTCATTATTAAATATTTCCAGTATAGGGAACGCTAATATTCTTCAGGGCACTACATTCTGTACGTGATGACGTTTAGAGAAACAGGATGTCCCCTTTAAAGAAAAAACAATTTGAATCGTTTCCGGATTAGGAGCAACAGTTATCATGCTGGTTGTACATTTTTTTTCAAATAATTCAGAAGCAAAAAGAGACAGGCATATACACCTTTTGAAAATTAACCATAGCAATAAAACCTGATAAAATTCACAGGGTGTGCAACTTAACATTTTAAATATGACAACCATTTGAAAACGAATGGTAGGGCACCTCATAGTCAGGGGTAGTTTCATATCTCTCCGACCGCTTCAAGGTGGTTGAGTAGTACATCATTTTGAAGCTGTCCTAGGTGGTTCTTCAATGGTCTAATTCAATATCTGGGACAAAATCAGCTTTTTTTGAGATTCCGAAATAAATAAAACGAACATTTGGTTATTTCATAATTGGATGTAGTTTTATACTTTCCCGACCGTTTCAAGGTGATTGAGTAGTACATCATTTTGAAGCTTTTCTAAGCGGTTCTTCAATGGTCTAATTCAATGTCTGACACAACGTCAGCTTTTTTTAGGATTCCGAAATAAATAAAACGAACATTTGGTTATTTCATTATTGGGGGTAGTTTCAAGGTGGCTGAGTAGTACATCATTTTGAAGCTCTCTTAAGTGACTCTTTAATGGTATAATTCAATATCTGGGACAACGTCAGATTTTTTTCAGATTGCGAAATAAATATAACGAATTATTTGGGGTGATGCGAGCGGAAAAGGGGTTATTTTCTGTATAACAACATTGAAGATGGTCTTTGGGAGTTCCCTTACAATATTTTCTCGCTTAGTTTCCCGGAATTTCCACAGGAATACGTTTTTTAAATTAAAGTAAATAACGAACTGGTTCACCGCAATATTCGCAAATCCGAATCCAAATCTAACTTCAGCTACATGTAAATCATATAGCTACTAGAGATATAGAGGCCCTGCCGATACCGATAATACAGGAACTTATGAAGCAACTATGAAAAAAAAATTTAATCTCTCAATTTTAACATGACAACATGACCGCTGGCAAATACCTGAACTAATGTAATATTCTTTCCCTTCTACATTTAATTCAGTTAGAGACTTAATATACAGGTTAAAGATTATGGCCCTGTGGAATTCCAAGTTTTATAATACAAGGAAGACTCAGGGTGTCATGTATTTTTACCATTTGTTGATCACCGCCGAAGACTGGATATCGGTTTGGTATCGGGTGTACCCAAGTTTGGGTTAGTTTATTGTATTTCGGTATCATATCTGAGGCCAATGAATTAACCAAAACTAACCAAGTAAGCTCGGTTAGACCGCAACGAAGAATGTTCATGTACAGAGATGAGAAAGAGCTTAGCTGGGCATTTAATCCGAAACTAAAATCTCTAATAACGTCACCGCAGTTAACCACGTTATCATTTTACATACAAATGTGTCATTTTTACTTTTTTATTCTATTATAATACAGTAAGCTGACGAAAAACTTGAGGGTACGTGACCCCTCCACACCTATTATTTCTACCACCCCTGATGACCCAGACTATTGATTTTCATTTTCCATCTGCCAGAATATTCGCGAAATTGTCGTTCTGACCGAAAAAGTCGTTTAAACAAATTGGCCCGATATTACAGTACATTAAAAAAATATTAATTTGTTTTACTGTCGCCGGCAGGCCCGATTCCAATAACATTTTCCGTTTGCATTTGATAAATTTATTGGTTGCCTATCAACAATTTGTGTGGCCGTTTGGCTTGTCACGCTCAGGCTCGATTATTTTTATAGTTAATTGGAAACCCTGTTCCAATTAAACAAATATAAAAAAAGGTAATGCCACCACTCCCCACCCCACCAACGTTTCCTGCGTTTCGAGGTATTTGGACCGCTGGAATCGATTAAAAAATGTAATTGATTTCGGACTTTTTTTTTTTCAATGGAGTTGGCTTTGAAAAATTTGTCGTGCATTTGATAGAGACGCGCGTATCTCCCTCATGTCCCCCATGAAATTTGAAACAGTAATTAAACGGTTTAAATAAATTTGCAATACGAAATATATGACAATGGCCAGTCGACGTGCTGCATCTTCTCTTCACCAAAAAACATATTTATACACATAAAACAAATGGGGTCACCGTTCATTGCAATTAACTTTTGAAACGCCTGCTTGGATAATAAACTTTTCAAATTACATTTTTATGTAAATTTGTTTGTAATAGATATAAGATATAAAGGCAATTTAATATTCTTTGATTAAAACTAAACACAACTGTATTTTAAAATTTCAACTAATGATAAAATTATTATACAGTAAATACTCTGTTAGTGACCTCTCATAAAGCTACTGCTCATACATGTTGACCATTTTTGCATTCCCCACCTTAAAAACTAGCCTTAGCTTTTCTAAACTTTAGTCGCATTTTAAATCGTCGAGTAACATTAAATTCTCAATTAAAATAATATTTTCAATATGGCGGCACAAAGAAAACGCCTCTCTTAAAAAAAAAAAGTGGATATAATCAATGAAAGTTAAAAATGTCGTTTGCGCACTAAGAAGTTGGTGGACAAGTTTAATATGGAGAGACCCAAGTCCTCGCGTTGTTACGAATGAAAAAAGAAGTTAAAAAATTGTACCGAGAAGGTAGCTATTGTGATCAAAAAGAAAGTTTCCTAAAAGCGAAGAACCTGCTGCTAAGCAGTACATAACCAATTGTACCAAATAAAACGATCCACTAAACGGTCTGGAAACCTATAGGAGATACGAAAAAAAGTTTCGTACAGTAGTTTTGTGGATTCTCCTGAAGATTTCGGATATAATAATTTTGTTGATACATGGTGTGACAAAGGTATCCGCCCACATCAACTTCGTTATTTTAAATGGAACACCCTGGAATCTTTGGTTAAAATAAAGGTCACTTTCTTAAGAAATTCCTATTCGAATTTTGCATAGCTTAGGCAGAAACTAAGGTTATGTTTTTTTTTTTCATATTTTGATTGCGCCATATAAAATTGTATTGTTACGCTACTGATAAAGGTATTGCAACCAAAATTTAACCACAGACTAAGGAGATGATGCACTACACATTCGGTTTGATAGATGAGCCTTAGCTTATAAAGGGTGTCCCAAATAGGTGGTGCGGTTTTGGCGAATTCAGTTTACAAAATCTCAAGATTTTCAAGTGGAACACACTATATTTATTATATACTCTAACTCTAATACTGTCGTCGTAGCCATATCTTAATAAGAACGACACTTTGAGGCATGTCTTCAAAAGTTTGGTTAGTTTATTTTGATACAAATAAAACAACTAAATTAAATTAACACCCTTATCCTGGTATCGCACTATATTGTGGTAAAAACTTGGTAATGACTTTTTTCGACATCTTATTTTGCCGTATATTTGCTTTAAAAAAGCTAACAAAAAATGTAATTGCCTAAAATAGACATCTTATTAAATATCTGAAACATTTAGCAATTTTGGATAAAGCCAACAACTAAAATTTAAAATTAGTAAAGTAAAAAATTTTTCTAATATTGCTCAATTTTAAATATTTTCAATATCATTGTAGGCTATTTAAAAGAAAACCTTTTGATAAGTAGCGAATGTTACAGGCCAAGTACGTCACTTTTGTCTTTTTCAAAACAAAAAATACGCCAAAATAAGGTATCAAAGTGTTTCGCGTAATTACGCAAACTTTCTTAATGACACTGTAGAATGTGAGACAATCCAGGATCGTCATGTTATGAACATGTTTGTATAAACGGCAACGGGCTACAAACAAACATTCGTTGAACGGACTATAACTTTCCCTCGGCCCGAAAACATTAATATTCAAAAAGAACGGCCGGAAAGAGCCGATTCCGTTCGGAATCCGCTATCATGTTGCCGTGATAAATGTCTCTTTTGATTAGATGGCGTCAGAAATGCGAGAAGGCCCCTTTGTTTTCCCTTTGGTGTCTGGCAATTTGTCATTTTTGAAAGCGCAGTTATTTTCGTCGACGCACAGCGGCGATCTGGAACGAGCTTTATTCATTTGTTTAAAAAAAAGGCGTCGCATTGGCACTGTTTTCGATCAAAGGAAACCAAGGGGCATCCGATTCAATTTTATATCGATGAGGCAATATTACTATCATTATTGATGGCGACTTAAGCAAGACACATTTCAGTCCATATCCAGCGTAACAAAAAACGAATATATTTTTTTAAAGTAGCTGTCAGAAGAGTGTAATAATATTATATAAACGTATAAGGTACACAATATTAAATCCGGGATTGCAGGATTTCAAAATCACGTCATGAAAGAGAAGAAAAATGTTTTCAGAATAAACTAAAACTAACAACTAAAGAAATAAATATTTCACCTTTGTCGCACTGCATAAAAAAATTAAGTATCTACGGCTACGTTAGAAACTGGGTCAGAACTATATTTTCCTTCTTGGGTTATACATCGTTTCTTCGAAAGTGATTAAAAAAAAATACATTTTTTTCTCATTGTTAAATTTAGGATGCAATGCACATGTTTGAAACAACTTATATGATAAAAAATGGTGTTTTCGACTTACAGATGTCCATATTTCATTTTACCTATGTAGCAATTTTTTTAAAAACAGTATAAATTTTTTTAACCCCAAGAAATTTTATCAGAGTTATTATTTCTTTGAACTTAGCTCCCAATAGATAAATAAATTGGTGAATTTACCGACTTTTATTGGATGTCTATACAACAATTAGTTTCTATTTAATACAATCTAATCGTGATCTTTTTGTAATTCTCTTCCGGGTCCTTTTTTCACGTATTTCTTTAATATGTATTTGATCAAGGTTACCACAAACATCCAAGACATTACGTAAATCGATACGGCCATGAAAATAAAATCCCAATCGTTTTTCGGCTGGGTAAGAATAACTTTTAAGAAATACGTCCCCAATAGGATACGAACAATGACAAACACGATAAAAAAGGTCACTTCTGTCGACACGAATATCGGCGTAAATTGCATCCCTTCGGAACGCAAGAACCACCTCGCTTGTTGAAATGGATTGGTGATTTCCATACTTCCGAGAGCGCAAGATGCCTGAGCCCCAGAATAACCTTTGTAGCTGATTTTCGCCAGCGCGTAAACGCAGTAGGCATGGTGGCATACCATTAACTTGTCTATAAGGCAAATTTAACTGATTTAGCCGCCCGTTCTTTAAGGGACTTTAACACTAACCCCTTCTATCGTTATGCCACGTCCAAATCAGATCGTGTGCAAAATATCCGAAACTAAACGCCAAGATGAAAGATTGCATGTAAGTCGTCTTCCATTCGGGATGGTCGAAGGGCCAGTCCACCAAGAAACACTGATTTATACCGAGGAACGCAGATACAAGCCCGTGGACGGCCGACGAGATTCTTGCGGAATATTCCGGAATTTTATTCGGGAGCAGGAATCTGCACAGGATGTAAAAAAGTCTCCAGAACAGCATGCTGCTGAGCATAATGATCGGAGATTCATAATTAATGTGGCCTTCTTTTAAATATAAATTGTTTTGTGTCTCTTGCAAGACCATTCAGTCATTTGTCAGAAAATGACACTTTTTCCAACTTTGCCAAAAAACGTCAGAACAAACCTCACATTACAAGCACCTTTTATCTTGGCACAGACCATATTAACTCAGAAAATATTTAATACAACATATAAATTTAAATTTAAAAAATTCCTTAAAATACTCTTATGCAAGATACGTCCTGCCATCTAGTAAGCGCTAGCTAAACTAACAAGAACCGTCGTTTGTGCAGGAAACAGTTATTTTTAATAAAACGCCACAAAGTATTGATGGCCTCAAGGCTTTTTGAATTTTTTTCAGTGCTTTCATTTAAGTTTCTTAAGCTTGTCATATTTCATAGTCGGGTAAGTTAAAATAGACTCATCTCTTTTAAATAAAAAATGAATGGATAGTTTGGTGGACACTATCACAGATTTAAAATAAAAATCTGGAAATGGATGTATATTTTTCTCTGCTTCCTGCGTTTTATAACCATGCATTTTAAAGGTTCATTTATATCATATAAAAAAATACATTTAACGAAACAAGATCAAGATACAAAATTTATTTATACATATACAACATTTTCACTCTATTTCGTTCCATTCGTTACAGTTGCCATTCCAATTTGAGAAAAGTAAAGAAAACTAAGTAACATGGTCCCCGTCACTATTAAGTCTCTTTTGGCCCCTTTTTAAAACCTGCCTCACATTTACATTTATACGTGAATGTGTTAAGTAGTCACCAAATGGTTTCCAAAGTTCTTCACTTTTGCAGATTTTGACGGTGTCTTTGTAATCTACAGGGCAACATACTTCATTTTGAGTAAGTGCATCCCAAAACCTCGAATCCATTTGTAAAATTTTTGGAACGCCATGATAGCACAGCCTTGACTCTTTGCTCATAACAATAATATCTCCACTGCGTAAAAATATTGGTAAAGCAATTTCGTCTTTAGTTTTACCACCGATCAAAAATATTGCAGTCTGTCCAAAACTATAAAAAAAGGACTAAATAATTGGTAAAAGCAAATAATTAGCCAATATACCTAAAGGAAAATAAAGGGGCCTCTAAATTGAGTTCTGAATGATCAGTATGACCAGACAATGTGGAGTCCATATGATAAAAATTTACTATGGCTGCCTCAGCTACAAAATTTGTGTATCCCAGAACACCTGCTACAAAGTGGACCATTTCTGCTAGATCTTTTGGAAACTCCCCCTTTTTATCTTCAGAATAAATCTGCAATACAATAATAGAATATTTTCCCTTTCACAGAACAAAAAATATACTTTGGTATCCCAGTTGTGATGGTAACCTAAAGTCACCCATCTCAATTTATTTAATAAAAGAACATTATTATTATTTTGGCACATTTCCCACCAATCTTTATTATCAGGTATGATTTTAGAGTCTATGTTCAGTTTGTTAGGCTTTTTGGAATAATCATTTAAACACCTGACAGTCCAATATCTCTGGCCCATGGATGTAAAAGGATTCTTAATAAAAAGTAGACCTGAAAATTATGAAGTCAAATATATTCAAGTTTAGAACGTTTAGGAACAAATTTACCTGGTCTGTCTACAATCTCATAAATTTCCCAAGTTTTAACGGGTTTAAACCCAAAAAAAGTCTTTAAAGCTTCTTCTTGGATATTGATTCTCCCAAACTGTTAAACATTTCTCAGAGGTTATTGCCTTCATTTGTTTAGTCAAATAGTGTTCTACATACCTTACTATTGCCCAGAGGCGGTATTTTGTTCAAGTCTAAAACCTTAGTCAAATCTGGAGTTGGGTTTTTTGATTTGTAATATTTGAAGCTATCTTTAAACATATTAAACCTGGGATTATTTTAGAAAAAAAATAATACCAAAAAAACAAACTAATTGAGGTTAGGAACGAGAAATAGAATAAATGTCAAAAATGTCATATATATTAACCTAAGCTTAAAGTCAACCTTGATAAAATCATTTATTAGGAACCATTTGTTTGTTGGCTATTCTCCACCAAGATTTAAAATGTACCTATTCTCACCGACTTTTTGTTGCTAATAAAAATATTTTAATGTGGGTTTAACATATCCTCTTAAAAAATTTGCACTTCTTTATTTTTAGTCATGCGTTTATGAAGTGTCAAAATTTGTCAGCTGACTTGAGTCTCGTGAAAAGTATTTGATCTTTATGATTGTGTGAAAAAGGGCGGAAATGTCTGCTCGGGATAGATTACCGATTTTCCCGTCTAGAGGGTGAGTATATTAATTTGACCGTTATAAATTGATCATTATTTTATTGTGTTCGAATTTAACTTCATCTTAGGGCTCAAATGTTGATGAAGGGTAGGCTAAAAGGGGCTCAACAAGGACACAATCTTTTAAAGAAAAAAGCCGATGCGTTACAAATGAGGTTCCGCATGATCTTAAGCAAAATCATTGAGGTTCGACTTTAGATTTATTTCTTTTTGTATTTTAAATTAAAGAGTTATTTTTATTTTAGACCAAAACATTGATGGGTATGGTAATGAAGGAGGCAGCATTTTCTCTGGCAGAAGCCAAATTTACCACTGGCGATTTCAACCAAGTGGTTTTGCAAAATGTAACAAAAGCTCAAATGAAAGTGAGAACTAAAAAAGACAATGTTGCTGGTAAAAGTGATTCTACCAGAGGTGATAGTAATTTTACTCACCGAGAATTTTTTTAGGTGTCACTTTACCAGTATTTGAGTGCTACCAGGATGGCACAGATACTTATGAATTAGCTGGTCTGGCCAGAGGTGGACAACAGCTTGCCAAGTTGAAGAAAAACTATCAGAATGCTGTTAAACTTTTGGTAGAATTGGCGTCCTTGCAAACATCATTTGTCACACTGGACGAAGTCATCAAAATTACAAATAGACGAGTTAACGCCATTGAACATGGTAAGCTAAAGAATATTGCGTAGTACATTAGAATATTTGTTAATGATTGTGTTGATTTTATTAAAAGTTAATCCTTCTAGTAATCATTCCAAAAATTGAAAACACTTTGATGTACATTATTTCTGAGCTGGACGAAATTGAAAGAGAAGAGTTTTATCGCTTGAAGAAAATCCAGGACAAGAAGAAGGCCAACAAGGCCAGAGTTGAGAAGGCTAGAGCAGAACTCATCGCAGCAGGATTGCTGAAACAGGAGCAAAGCCAAGCGAATAATATTCTCGATGAGGGAGATGAGGATATTCTCTTTTAGAGCTGGTGCCAGGACACCTAAATTGTTAAGAGAACAATTAATATATCTATTATACAGAAAAAAAAATGTTTAGTTTTGGTTTATAAGTATTAACGCAAATGTTTATTTTGTTCACAGGAAATCATGAAAATGAGTCATGAGGTTTAAATAGTTTCGATAAGGGTGTTATTAAAATTGTATTGACAATAGATTTTTGTGTCCAAGCCAAGTATGTAAAACAAAACAATCCTAGCTAATTGGGATATATTTTCATTTTCATTTTATTCCATTTTGAATGATATTGAGTGAGTTTAGCATAATAAAATCACTGTATTGGTTTTAATTGTTGCAAGAAATATAAGTGTTTTATGTTGATCTACATTATTTTATTACATACAAACTGCATCAGATATGTGCGCACCTAGTCAATGGAACACGGAAAAAACACGTCCATACTTTTTTTATGACCTAAATCCACATTGACATAATCATATCATATAATCAGATTCGTGATACAGGTATATCTGGCGTTACACCGTAAACGTAAAACGTGCGTACATTAGATGGCGTTATTCAAAAAATAAGTTTAAAATTAATATTACAACAATGTATAAAGAACTATTGTGGCTACGTTACCAAATCGGGGACAAACAGAAAACTTTACTCAGATCGAAATTCGTAATTTAATCGTGCAACAAAAAAAAATGTGTAACATCAACTGTTCCAAAACAGATGTACAAAACTAAGTAAATAATATACCTACTATTTACGTCAACAATACATCTAGCAGATATTCCGGTTTTTTGTTTCGTCTGTGCAACCGCCACGCGGCTGTCTGTGTGTTTTTGCGGGAATTCCGGGACACTTTCACGTTGGAACAACAGAGGGCGCCTTTATACTTATTTTCGTTAATTAATATTATTGCGAAACAGTAAACTTGTTTTAGTATCAGCAACTAGAATTTTTTTTTACAATTTTGATTGATAAATATGGTTTGGTTGGATTTGTTAGTAGTTGCCCAGCGTAGCCTAGAGACCTCTAAAAAGTTTTATTTGCAATAATTTTACGCCATGTCAACAACTGTCGATAAAAGGAAAATATGTGCGTACAAGTAAGAAAAACTACCCGCGCGTATTAATATTTTTTCGGACTTTGTTAAACATCGGGAACATACAAAAAAAGATAAAACTGCTACTGAATGCGTGCATTAAGTAGGTCAAAAGTATGAGTATTTTACACTGTTCTACTTTACTAAACGATCGATATTCAGATTAGTCTTCTTCATATATTGATTACAGCTTTCCCTCGTAAAATATTCAGCCCCTAAACTAAACCAAACACCACGAGAAACGAGTGGAACTTTTACAGAGTTATGGGCACGCTGGTGATATATGGAAAACATTAAAATATTAGTTTTAGCAATTTTTCATAAAAAGCATAGATGGCGCATCATTATTAAAAATTTTTGAGTCGACGTCAAAAAATATGGTAGGTATGTTACTTGGCTTTTTTCGCATGTGTGTAAGATATTGAAAATTAGGCATAAGTGACATATTTACGCACATTTTTCATAACTAGGTATACATTTTGTAAAACAATAATTTCTACCTTTTCAGACACATATGCGCCAAACTTTTTTGATTTGCACAATTATTATTATATAAAAGAATATTTTTTTAACAAATTTGGTGATTACATTTTATATGCAGTGAGGACATAATTCCTGTAAAAAAAACCGAAGGTATGCCAAGACGTCATTTTAACTTATAGAAATGTCATTTTCAAATGGTTCAAAATTATTATATATATATTATAATTTATATTTTTTTCTACTCCTGTTTGTAAAATACCTAATTGCCCACCGATCTAGCGTGCGGGAAGCGTCACTTTGCCACGTCAGTTTCGTTTCCCATAAATCCGAGCCACTTCCGACATTTCCGGGATTTTACCGCACGGATTTTGAAGCAATCGGATGTTTTGGGAGATATTTCCCACGCTGTAAATTTTGACGTTTGTCAATTCTGACGGTCATGTCAGTGAATGTATTCGTGTTGTTTTTGCGAAAATGTACCCAAAAACTAACGGTCGTAGAAAAAGTATACTATGCAACACGTTCGGTAAACTTATGCCGTTTACCGCACTTGTTGCATAATATACTATTTATGACGAACAATTTATAATTAGTATATTACAACAAGTGAGCGAATGTTTAATAAAAAGTTTACCGAACGTGTTGCGTACTATATATTTTTTACAACCCTTAGTTTCTGGGTACAGTGCTTAATAAAGGAGTGAGATAAAGAGTTTACCAAACGTGTTGCATACTATATTTTTTCTACGACCGTCACGAAAAATCACAATTTAACAAATTAAAAATAATAACAGATGACTAAATTTCGTACCAATCAAACAACATATTTACCAGTTGCCATTAAACCTACTCGTTTATCGTTCCGATCGGTTCGGCTATTGTTGTTTCTTTTTAACTATGTACGTTAGACAGATATGTCATATAAACAACGGAATAAACACAATTTTAAAACGTTATGTTGTTTATTTCACTTTTACAATTGATCATTAAGTAATTTGTTTAATTGTATTGTATTTAATTGTAAGTAATTGGAAGAAAAATCATCCAAGGATAGAGCTTTTAAGCGGATTTAATTTTTAAGATCGTGTATGCAAGAAAAAGCAGGACCTAACCTTCAATTTTGTTTTGTTTGTACTGATGAGACATGGATATTTGAAAATGGTACAATTGGTTCTGACAAGATATTAATACAAAAACTGTAAAAACCACTAAAGTTCACGCGAACGGTATGTAAAATTGTAGCTTAGAGCACGTAGTATTTAAATTGTCTGATATATTGCATAACATTTTTCTGTGTATTAGTTTTTGGATACATTTATGCAAAACAACACCAATACATTCATTGACATGACCGTCAGAATTGACAAAATTCAAACAGTGCGGTAAAATTTCCGAAAACATCCGATCGCTCCCAAGCCTGTGCGGTAAAATCCCGGAAATGTCCGAAGTGGCTCGAGTCCGTGGAAGCGGAACTGACGTGGTAAAGTGACGCTTCCGCACGCTAGATCGGTCTAATTATAATTATTCTACGCCCGCCCGGATGTTTTCGGAGATATTTCTCACGCCTTGATTTTTGACGTTTGTCAATTCTGACGGTCATATCATTGAATGTATTCGTGTTGTTTTGCGAAAATGAAAAATGAAAAATAAATAACTACCCTGAAATGTTCTTCCGTCACTGAGCTTTCCTTTAAAATCTTAATTTCGCCCGCGGCAGGAAAATAGAATAATCTTTATATAAACGAGGCTACGAAGTTCGTCCGCGCTCTAAAAATTAATTTGCTCGAGGGGTTGGCGTTAATTAAACCCGGCAACGGCCTATTTCCCGACGATTTCATTGCCTTTCACATTTTATTGGCAGCTAATATTAATTGTCATCTACGTGTATGCTGCGGAGGACTAAAGAGAAAGAAATGCATCGCAAGTTAACGTGGTAATGGACTTGCAACATGAAATCTGCTGTTTAATAATTCAACTTTTCCAAATTACCACTAGAGGCGCGTCGTTGGAAGAGTACGAAAAACAACCAGCAGATGTTGAGCCGTGCAAAAGGTACCTCTATTTTTGAAAACAAAGACAACGGTTATATTAATGGAAGATGATAATTGTCATTGCCATATCGTCAGATGTCCTGCCAAATTCAATATCAGTAGGAATTCGTGAGAAGAAAATATAGAATGCAATGAAGGCAAACGTCAAATCGCTAGTTATATTTTATAAAATATAAGAAAGTATAATATTTTTATGAATGTTACTTATGACGTATTAATCAATTTGCTTGTATTTTGTATGGATTAACCCTTCAAATTCAATAGAACGTTGATACAGAACTTAATAATGATGAAACTTGCTAAACAAACCTTGCACACGGCTCAACCAATTTTATATATCTGATGGTTGTATTACAAGTTTTGGACCATGAAAAACTTTTTTTAAAGATTTTTTTTCATAAAACTAAGTTTCATAAAAAAAGTTATACCCATATAGCTACTAGAGACATAGAGGCCCTGCCTATGCCGATAATACAGGCACTTATGAATCAACTATGAAAGGTCCATTCACCATGACCTTGCGGAATTCAACAACCGACATGGCCGCTGACAGATAGCCAATAAGTGTGGATGCGGCATCGTTAGGGCAGTATTTTGTCAAACCATGCCTAGATCTCGTTAAATGTTCTGGGGAAGCGAGTTTCTATTTTTCTCCTTGAGATTATTTAACAGCTACTGTCTCCATCCGTTTGCTACCGGTCTTCATTTAAGACAAAATTAAAAGAAATGGTTGATTGTAAGTAACTAGTGTGATACTGTTTTTTCTTGTTTTTGTTTTTTTTATGGTTTTTAAAAACACTTTTTACCTAAGTTGGTGTTTAGCCATTTGAATAGTTTTATGTTGTAGCTTTTTTTTGGAAATTGTCGCAGCCGTTGAAATAAGTAAATCATTAAATAAAATATGCTTGCCGCCTGCGGCGCATCCATTTTTGCCGTAGTAGGGTCACTATTAGCTATATAGTCGTTTTGATCATATATTCAATTAATCTTTCAATTGGTATTTGTCGTCGAGTATATTTTTTTTTCATTAATAAAAACTGTAAATAAACAAAGCTAGGGGTTTCATTATATGTATGGGTACAAAATTTTAAATAAACCCAATTAAAAACTAGCCACTTCAAATAGTAGGGACGATAATGAACGCAATTAGTCGGAACCGATCCAGAGTCCATCTCGTTACCCTAATTTTACGGCATCGTTTAGGATCCGGTCCGAGACCGATGGCGCACGCCGCTACAGCTGTCCGTTGCTATAGGAGCAACAGGATATCCAGAGGGATACGCGGGACGTACACTCCGGACCGCAGAATGCCAGTCGACAACGAAATCCCGGCACCGACGGTATAGGACTTGAAGTCGTCGATCTGCTCTGGATAGACCGTTTCACACGTAACCATTAGAAGGTGAGTTAAAGCTCGTAAAAAAATATATTTTATTAACTGTTTCCTTGAATTCTGTTTCATTTGTTATATTTCCCAATAACGAAAGGTTCTTTTATAAATTTTACGACATATACAATGTGAGCAATTTTAGATACCGAGCATGGGGAGCTCGGACCCTTACAGCTTATATGGGTGAAGGTTACATTACAAAAAAGTTGCTTAAATTGATTTTAATAATGATTGAAGCAAAAAAGATATCATATGACTTTTCTAATGCTTTCCAATACATTTTTGTTATTCGATTAAAAAATTATTTTATTATTATATAAGGATTTTGAGTAACTTAATTAAGGTGTATATTATTAGACAAACTTGTTGAATTAATTTTTGTTTAATTAATTTTAGGAGACTTCTATTGCCTTTTCTCCAAACAGTAGTTAACTTTTTGACAAAAAAAAACGTTTTGCATCATAAAAGTGAATACATATTTGTACGAAATATTAGCAACTTGAGTCTCTAATAAATCAAACAATTTCCCGAAAGATTTCCCAACAATTTTAACAAAGGGAAATCGCGATGAAATTTGGAACTTTCCGCGTTAATCAGTTACAAACAATTTAATGACTTTGGAACGGCGTATATTTTTATTACCGCCAATAAAAATTGTCTTCCTTAATAAAGTAAAATTGATGGGCTAATTTAAAATACGTCAAGAAAAATAAAATTCGTTTCACGACTCAATGCTCATCTTTAAGGATGATTCTGGAAAGCACCGAACTAATAAATTTGAATAACTGGAATAGCGGAGTGGCCAACGGTCATTTTTTTCCTACTTATTCAGGAAAATACGCTCTCAAAAAGGTATAGCAATTAATAGCTAGATTCAATATAAACCCTTTAAATTTTTATAAGGGTATTTTTATCTATAAATATTTTCTGCGCCAATTTTCACATAATTTTTTTTTAGTTTTATTCAATAGTATTTGCAACTTTAAAGTTGCTAAGCATTTTCCTAGAAAATTTGACGTGATTTAGGCATATTTTGAAAAAAAAAACAGCAGTAATATTGACGATCTGCCAGCGACCATGTTGGCTGTGAAATACAGCAGGGTCATTGGTTAAAAACGAGATTTTAAATCTCGCGCATGCGCGTGTTGAACGGACCTTCTCAAAAATTTGCTTCACAAGTTCCTGTGTTATCGGTAGAGTAGCTATACCTCGCTAACACACAATTGCATAATATATAAAAATTTAAAAATCTTCTGGATTCCTCCTGCGTCAGTTGTTGATGAATCGAATTTGCTGACGTTTCACCAATCATCCTATTGGTTGGTTCAGAGCCTAACTGTATTACTTTCAGCTGACTTCTTCAGAGTTTAACTGTTTCAGTGTCAGTTAAGCCCGGAAGTAGCCAACACGATGATTGGCGAAATTGGATTCATCAACAACCAGCGCAGGAGGAATCCAGAAGATTTGTAAATACCATTACAGTAGCCTGTGCAAGTTTTTTTGAAAATTTATGCCACAAGTTTAATAAGCGCCAGATTTTGGTACATTTTTGCAAAACGTTAGAATTGACAAATGTCAGATTACCATAGATAAAGCTCAGTATGTGAAATACACATATTTAATTGTGGCTGCTTTTCGACGCAGAAGATAATATGTTCCTTTTGAAACGTTTTAATGGAAAATGTTTAAAATTGCCATCCATTCGAGTAACCTAATGGAGACTGTTGTTAGCAGGCCGTCCAATACCGAACCTCAAACCGAAAGTACAATCATGCTCCAGTACGGGTTGATACCGCCCTCCCGTTTTGAAGACGTTATCGGCCATTTGAGAGTTAATTTTCCAGACGAGCCCCTAAACGCAGCGGTTGGTCTTTGTTTCCACGGCAAACCATGTCCATTGCTGGAACACCATGACTGGAAAACACTCGAGGACGGGTTGTCGGTGATGGTGACGGACAAGGATACCGGAAAAGTAAGTCTACCGGTCGTCACACAAATACAAAATACAAAATAAAACTAAATTCGCAAAAAAATATTAATTTTAATAGTTTCCTTTGTTTTGTCCTCATTAAACTTTTTTTCTCCCATCAATCGAACATTTTGTGCAATTTGAGGGTGGAAATGGAAAATATGAAATTAGTTGTTCAGCAAATTAATAAATGAATATATGATGTGACAATTGATTTATTGTATTCATTTGGTGTTAAAATTTTATACCCGAGATATAATTAAAAAAAAAATTTTGGCCGAAGGGAAGTTGGAAATTAAATATAGAAATTATTAATACGAAATTTGTTTGCCACAGAAAATGAAAGTCACATCAAGATATCCTAAAAAAGTAATAAACATATTCAGGGTTTTATTTACGTGTCCGATATTTCATAGGGTTATTTCTTAAGTATTTTAAAGTTCACAAATTTCTGTAAACGTGTGGTCTGAAATGTTTTGTTTTCGAGATACAGGGTGGGAAAGTTTTATTTTCATTTTTGATGGCGGACATTTCCAAAATTTGCTTGCTGTGACTTTGATTTGGCTTTTATATTACATTATTATCGTTATTACGGGATCTTGTTCACATAAAAATGTTTGATGGACTAATTGTTTTACCAAAAATATAACACAAGATCGTACAAAAGTCATGAATATTTGAAACTGAAACAATAGCTAAATTTGGGACAAATTCAAAAAAAATCCTGGGCACCAATTTTTGTTTAGAAATCGGTATTATACTAGTTTTATAAAACTTGAACTTGGTGAAGTTTCGCCAATCCTGTTGGCTTCTTCAGAGCTTAACTAAAACTGGCTCGCATTCTACTCTGTACCTGCTTATATATTGTTTTAGGGGGGAAGAAATAAAGTAAGGAGAACTGGAACACATTTTTCTTATAACGGTGAAATTTTTCTTAACCGTTGTCACCAATTTGGGAATCAGTCATCCGGGACGGTGTTTATGCCCCTCATTTAGCTCCGCCCCCCTCAAACAATATTTAAGCAAGTACAGAGTAAAATGCGACCCAGTTTCAGTCAAACTCTGAAGAAACCACAGGATGATTGGTGAAACGTCAGCAAGTCCAATTCAACAACAACGGACGCAGTATGAATCCAGAAGTTTTGTAAGTATTATTTCGGATATTATGTAGAAAAAACAAAAATACCAATAAAACTTCACACCCTGTATATGGAAATCGAATTAATTTAGATTACGCGTTTATAGCAACTTTTTACCTTAAAAATACTCGAGACATCATCCTGTGAAACATGGGAAATTTATTAAATAACACCCTGTATACTTGTTGTCTGCATTGGTTCAAAAATTAATTTTATACACTGACTTTATTTTTTATGCGTACGCGCCACTGCCGTACTAATTTATAGTCTCTCGCCAGCAGCAATAATTCCAGAAGCTGGATAGAAGCTTACGACTTAATTTAAAAGTTAGTCGGTAGAGAAAATATACTGTTCCCGGGATAAAATTTTTTTGCGTTTTTCCTGCTTGACCGCTCTTTTTTGTATCGCTGTCAGATGCATTTTAATTACCAAGTTTCGAATGAAACCGAGAAAGTAATACGGTTGAAAGTAGATTCGCGAATATAACGTTTTAGAGGCTCTCTAACGAGAGAAAATTTAATATCTTCGCCGAGATCGCATCATTTTCGTCGAGATGGAATTTTCATTAAACGACTTCCGAGCATAATTCGGAAGTCGACGAAATATTCACCGTTGGAAAGGGAAATCGATCCTTAAAGGTGATTGCTTTCTTAAAGCTCAAATCTTTAAAGGTTCAATTATATTATGTGTACCTTGGCGGATAACCTCCGTTGGGAAATTGATCCGTTATAAGAGAAGGGTAAGATGCGACCGCTTAGGCGTGAAACGGATAACATCGGATCTACTTAAATTCATTGCGGTTGATAAGAAAAACACTTTCTTAAATTTAAACATTTAAAGTAGAAAATTATGCCACAAGTGTGGTAAACGGCATTTTAGTCACGAGCTAATTTTGTACGACCGTTAGTTTTTGAGTACATTTTTGCAAAACGACAAGAAAACATTCACTGACATGATCGTCAGAATTGACAAACGTCAAAATTCAAGCCGTACGGTAAAATCTCCGAAAAATCCCGGAAATGTCCGAAGTGGCCTGTGGAAAACAAAAGTTTCGTGACAAAATGACACTTTTCGCACGCTAGATCGGTGTTTAATTGGACGTTTTAGACAAGGGAGTAGAACAAGTAAATTGTAAAAAGTAAAAAAATAGTAAATCGTATAAAAAAAAATATTATCCGAAATACGTTGGGAAATACTATTTTTCAAAACTAGTTAAACAAATTACTATTTTTGCAAAGTATTTTAGAAAAAAAAAAGACATTAAATCTTTTTACGCACTTCTTCCCGCTCCTGTTTTCGTCCGTAGAATGAATGTTATCGAAATAGAATAGAAGCAACGTAGCGTCCTATCTCGCATATATCAACTGATACCGAGGTTCATTCCTGGCCTTTCGGGAATACCCCGACTTATTCAGGATGTTGGCCCGAACTATATAGCTATTGGATACTATAGGAGCCCTAAATACCGTCAAATCGATGAATCTCAGGCGCTTAATAATCTTCCGCTAAAACTAACTTGCACTTTTCGCCTTTTCTAAATAGCGATCTCCACACATTTAACTGGTTTTTTCCCTAAAAATTTAATGGGATCTGGACATATTTTGAGTAGATACTACTGGAAAATTGCCGCATCTGAACTAAAAACTATCTAATTCACGCCAGAGGTTATGAACGCGCAAGGTCTCATTGGTTTAAACCGAAATATGAAATGAGAACCTATTTCTTATTGGTTGAACGCGAGTTTTGAGATAAATCGCGCCTGCGAGTCTTGAACTTCTTAACATGCTTTTATTTTATAGATTGCAGGGGTGGCTTTGAACGGCATCTCGCGACTGGGGGATACCGAAAAGGCGATCGAAGAACTGACCGCGATCGAAAACTTACAGTATCGACGAATCTTTGGGTTACTGAACGACGTGAACAAGGAATTGGACTTATTTTCGAAATACGGAATCGAGAAAATTTTCGAAATAAGAATATTGTCGGTCGACTCGGGCTACAGGGGAAAGGGCATCGCCAAGGAACTGTTTATCCAAAGCGAAATCGTGGCTCGGGACAATGGTTTCAAGGTAAAGTAATGGTAAAAAAAGCAAATGGTTTTAATAAAAAAAGAAACGGAACCGTAGAGAAAACTAATAAATAAAGATAAAGAATAATCAGCTTATAGTGTGCGGATAGCGCAACTCAGACCAAATTTGCACAAATTGAATTACGACTTATGAATACGTACCTGTTTTTATCTGTACTAGGTGGTATAGTTGAAAGGAGATTAGAATGAATTGCGTGATGGATTTAAAAAACCAAATTTAAAGCAAAAACCCCTTTTATTTATGACTGTTGTGTTTTATACGACTGTGTGGGTGTTTTTATGTTTAATTCTGTCATATTGACAGGATATCAATCAGAACTCCAAAACAAAGGTAATTTGAAACCGTATAGTCAGCGTTTAGGATCTTTTTTCCAATAATTCAAACCCAATTCAGGAAATTAATCAGAACTCCAAAACAAAGGTAAAACCCACTTCAATCACGTTCCAGCTTCATTAATGTTGTGATTCATGGATGGAAAAATGTGATGACAATATATTTCGGGAAAAAAAGATGGAATAATTTGTTGTCACACTTACATAATATTTTAGTGTTCTACTTTCGTTTTTAAGATAAAAAAATTCAGAGTTGGCTTTTTACCCAACGTTTACGAGGGTGACTTGAAAAGTTTCCGATCTAACAGTGATACAAGACTTTTTTTTACATTTTTTTAAAATTTTTCTCCTTGTAACTCTACACACTTCTCCCAGCGATGCTCCCATCTCTTTAACCCGTTCAAATAGTACTTAGCGTTTTTCTCCGCTATATAATTTTTCCCGAGGGGGATTGCCTCCTCATGTGACGAAAATCTTTGTCCTTCGAGTGCAGTTTTTGGATGAGGGAACCACAAGAAGTCGCTGGGGGCAAGATCTGGTGGTAAGGCTGATGGTAAATAAGTTCAAACCGAAATTCGTGGATTTTCGCCATGCCTGCCGCCGGGGTATGTGACGGTCATACAGAATTTTTTTGCAAATATGGCTGTTTTTCCTTTTTGAAGGTAATCGATTAAGATCACTCCATGGCTATTCCATAAAACAGTGGCGATCACTTTCCCAGCCGAAAAAAGTTTTTTGCTTTTTCGGAATCGGTACCTCCTTGGTCTAACCTGAGTAAACCTGACACACAACGCGAGGATAGCTTTCTCATGATAAAATATTGACTTACAGCGTGACAAATACATTTTCATAACCTCTGCTATCTCTCCGTTTAATTCTACGGTCGTTTAACGCCATTTGATGAACTTTAGCATTATCGTCGGTAGTTAAAGTGTTTGGACGCTCTTTCACGTTTAAATTCAGCTGCCCAAAATTGCGCTGTGGCAAATGGCGGTGCGGAGTCCCCATACACAGAGTCCAAGTCAACTATAATTTGCGTAGGCATATTGCCTTCCAAAAACAAATATTTTAACTATACTCAATTTTTTCTATTTTCAAGAAAACATTCACAACGTCTCACTCAAACGACTCTCAACTAAAAACCACGCGTCCAAAATGGCTGAAACTTTGGTAAGTAACTATCAAGAGGTGCACAACTATAATCGCGTCGGAAACTTTTCAAGTGACCCTCGTATATAACCCTTTAAGTTTTTCGCATATTATCTAAGTAGTAAGGGGTGTTTTTTTCGATGTATAGAACTTTAAGTTGCGATAAAACAACGATGGATTATTCGATTGACATGAATTTTATTTATCAGAAAGATAATCTTGTGGCATTACATTTTAAATATGATTTTTGGCATATGACCGCCACGGCTGGCGCGGATGTAGTCCGATCTGGACGTCCAATTTTTGACGACTTTTTCCAACATTTGTGGCCGTATATCAAGCGTTTGTGACTTATCCGCATAGACCAATGACTTTACATAGCCTCACAGAAAGTAGTCTAGCGGTGTTAAATCACAAGATCTTGGAGGCCAATTCACAGGTCCAAAACGTGAAATTAGGCGGTCACCAAACGTGTCTTTCAATAAATCGGTTGTGGCACGAGCTGTGTGTTGAACCCACATCTCCTGGACATCATGGTTATTCAATTCAGGAATCAAAGAGTTAGTAATCATAGCTCTGTACCGATCACCAATGACTGTAACGTTCTGACCATCATCGTTTTTAAAGAAGTACGAACCAATGATTCCACCAGCCCATAAAGCGCACCAAACAGTCAGTTTTTCTGGATGTAACGGTGTTTCGACATACACTTGAGGATTGGCTTCGTTCCAAATGCGGCAGTTTTGTTTGTTGACGTAGCAATTCAACCAGAAGTGCGCTTCATCGCTAAACAAAATTCGCTTTTCGACGAATCTACGCCTTACTTGATGAATTGCCAAACCAAACTGAGAATAAATCACTTGACAGCTGTTAAATGGGTAGCCATCTTGAACAGTAATGCCAACTTAAAGTTCTATACATCGAAAAAAACACCCATTACTAACCAAAACTAAACAAACCGTTTGGCTCGCATGCACGCTTGAAAAAGGTCAACGTTAGGTCAGTTTTAGGTTGTGCGATGTCACCATAGAACGTAGCTTACCCACGAAAACTGAAGCTAAAAGCGTAGCTGGTTATTCCACACAAAGCGCACAAAAGTTTTAAATAATTGTTTAATTAATATCTAGAAACAAAATATACTCAAAAGCGCCACCAGCAAACGACAAATTTGAAATGCCAAAAATCCCAATTCACCAATCCCTTTTCTGGTCGATCAATTTTTTTAAGCATGGTAGTAAAAATTGGTAACCATTTGTTAGAAAGTGTGGAAATATTAAGGCTGTGTTGTATTTTCGAATTGGATTTTTATTACTTTCTCTATAATTTTAAGATGACTCGGTCCTTAATCAAATGTCAGGCCAACTAACGTCACGAAATTAGCCATGTAGCTACCAAGTTTGTAACTTTCTGATTTATCAGTTTTCTCTATGGCTAGAACTGAGATGAATTAAATGTTTAACTGTAATCCATTGTTGTCCAGTTGTACTTGACTCTCTGACATGTTCCTATTTTTAAATAATAGTCCTCTCTTCCCTTTTCTCTACCAACTCAAAAAAACAAACGATTTCGTCGTTTCAAATTGTTTATATTTATAAAAAGTTAACAATATTACACTTTCTTCTCTGTTATGACTGTCAATGAATGACGTCGCGGTTTCAGCTCATGAAAACGGATGCGACCAGCTTGTTCACGCAGAAGGTGGCGGAAAGCCAGGGGTTTCACGTGGAAAAGTCGGTCAATTATCACGATTACAAAGACGAAATCGGAAACAAAATCTACGACACTCAGCCGCCCCACTTGCACTACAAAGTGATGGCGAAATTGGTTCAGCCGTGCCACGGTTGAGATTTTCACTGAATGACGTTTTTATTTTTGGCAATTTTTACCTTCTAATATTTACTGATTCGACAAAATGTTAATACTGCCACTGCCATGCAGAATTAAACATTTGGTATAATGTGTAAACACGATATATGCTTAGGAAGAACAAATAATATATTTTTCGATAATTTCGAAAGCCTTTTCGATGTTTTGTTAAGTTATACGGGGTGGTCATTTTTTTTTATTTAGGTGTTGTACCGACAAAACGCAAATTCTGATTCGGATTCAACAGAAAGATAAATTACGTACTACAAGATGCAGAATATTACCAAAACAAGAACAGCCTTTTTTAAATAGGTGACATGAAAATAAAGGACACCCCGTATTGCAAGTAATTCGCAATCTCTACGTGTAAATACTATGTGATAGCGACCTAGAGTGTCAAAGGCAATCATTGAGGGGATTAAAGTTTTATATATTTTCCCAAGAGTGAATAAACGTTTGTTGAAAAGTAGCGTTTTCATCCCTAATTTTCCCGCTTAATCATTATAATAAAAAAAAATAATTCATAAATACCAATTTCATTATAAGAATAGACAGTAATGCCACTGTCATATTTTTAGTACTAACGTGACATAAGCATAACTTGTATAATTAGTACCATAATATAAAAAGTTATTATGGCTAATAATAAAATAAATCGCAAAAACAACTTCTGAAAATAAATTAATTTCAATAAATTTGTATTGTTTATATGTATTTGTATATGTTATGTAAAATATTCTATACGGGGTAGTCCATATTGAATACATAGATTATAAAAATCATATTCTAGTATGTTATGCTATCATGTTATTTAAATCAATACTTTACTTTTTACTCAGGAAGGACTCGGAAATCGACGACTGCGGATGTCACTGTTTTAAAATCTACTCGTATGGATGAGTTCGTTGGGAGGGTGAATTAAAATAACGGAATGTAAAAAACGAATCATTTACTTTCAGTAAACACATGAATACTGCTAAAAAATGGTTAAAATTGTTAATCGCTGTATTTACATCACTAACCGAAACGAATTCTAAATATATACAAGTCAGTAAATATACGTACAAGGCGGGCCCACTTCGTCTATGGACGCGTTACCCAAACACAATCTTTCTATACCCCAAACGACTTTAGAAATTAATTGTATTGGTTAGTCTAAGTTTACAATATACAGGTACCGCCAAATAACTTGCGGATAAAGCAATTTGCGCCTATCAAATAAAGGTACTCCACAGGTAGGCGTGGCATACTTTGGACTTATGCAAGGGAATTCAGTACCTTAAAAATAATATATTTGTACATTTTTATAATATGTTAAATAAATAAAATAAGATGTAGGTTTAACAGGTACAGGTAGACATAATAGTAGCTAAATCTTATTATTAATAGTTCAAGATTAATGAGCAACCATATGGATTCTATAAGAATAGAAAATCACCGGTACAATCGAGTAGATAACGCCCGTTTGTCAAAAGATCTTCAAATGTGTTAGGAACATTAAAATATGTATGTCAAACGTCAATATATTTTTCGTAAATGTAAATTCTACATTATTCAAAACTGTATGTATTTGACGGTACCTGCGTTGTAATTCAAAAATTATTTAAGAAATAGCGATTACGTCTAAGCATTATTCGCTTCCCGGAGAATGAATCGTCACTGTTTCTTGAACCTTGTTCGTACTCGTTTGATTCGTTTGTTTTACCAAATTGGGACTCATCACCCTAGCGAACATCTGCCGATTTTGACTACCTGTAACCAAGTATGATGTCGGGAATTCCTTTCTTCCTTTAGATACTAGGTGTGTTCAAAAAGTATTTCGAAAAGAATTTCGAATTTTTTGTGGCGTTATGTTGGTACTCATGTCTCTCATTTATGCCGACAAGCTCGGCCATTTTGAATGTTCATTTAATTGTTGATAGCTGCTTTGCTTGCACGTGTTTTGGATCGTCTTCGATTTTTACCTATTCAAAAAAATGGATCAAAGAACCTGTATCAAATTTTGTGTGAAAAACGAAATTAAGTGCACGGATGCATTCCGAATGTTGACTGTGGCATACGGAGAAGCTACCTTGGACCGAAGCAACGTTTATCGGTGGTACAAAATGTTCTCAGAAGGCCGAGAAGATGTGAACGACAAACAGCGTGCCGGACGCCCGAGCACTTCAACAACAGATGAAAAAATTAATGAAGTGGAGAAAATGGTATTGGCCAATCGTCGAATCACCGTTAGAGAAGTTGCTGAGGACCTAAACATATCGATTGGCTCGTGGGCATGAGATGGGTCGCCGCGAAATTCGTACCAAAATTGCTCAATTGTGACCAAAAACAGCATCGCATGAACATTGCTAATGAGATGTTAAACTTTGTCCGCGACGACCCAAATTTGCTCCGAGGGTCATAACTGGTGACGAATCGTGGGTTTATGGTTATGACGTGGAAACCAAAGCTCAATCATCTCAATGGAAGCTGCCGCACGAACCAAGGCCGAAAAAAGCGCGCCAAGTTCGGTCGAATGTGAAAGTTTTCTTCGATTGCAGGAGCGTGGTGCATCATGAGTTCTTGCCACAAGGAAGAACGGTCAATAAGGAATATTACCTGCAAGTTAAGCGCAATTTGCGCGAAGCAATCCGCCAGAAAGGCCCGCATTTGTGGAAGAACAAAAATTGGCTTTTCCACCACGATAACGCCCTTGCTCACACATCGTTGCTTGTGCGCGACTTTTTGGCCAAAAACAACACCCTAATGATGCCGCAGCCACCGTATTCCCAAGATCTGGCCCCCTGTGACTTTTTCTTGTTCCCTAAACTGAAGAGGCCCATGAAAGGACGACGTTACGCTTCTCTTGACGAGATAAAGACGGCATCGAAGGAGGAGCTCAAGAAGAAAAATTATTTTTTGAAGTGCTTCGAAGATTGGAAAAACCGTTGGCACAAGTGTATAATATCTCATGGGGATTACTTTGAAGGGGACAAAATAGATATTCATGAATAAATAAATAATTTTTGAAAAAACACAAAATTCGCGATACTTTTTGAACACACCTCGTATATTTAACATCATTGCTGGCCGGGAAAGTGATAAAATAACCACTACTTGCTTATAAACATGTAATTAATTAGGTCCAAGTGGACAACACAACAGAATGAATACAAGTAAATTGATTCAGCACTGCATCTTTAACTTCTGAATATATGCACCTGCGGGTATATTGCCAAGCAACCATTCGGTATAAAAAAAACACACAGTCACATAACAAGCGTTTTATATTAAATATTTGGAGCTATTTTTCACGAATACTACTGCAATCTTTATTGGCCGCATGGCAATAACGCCCTGTATGTAAAATTTTCAAAAGTTTCGGTCGTAAGGTACATAAAATATGAACATTCAATTAGGTTATGTTTATCTTTGCTGGGTTAGCAAAATCGTAGATAGTATTTAAAAGAAATTACGTGAGAATTAGATTGTCTTTGGCTCCTCGTAATTGACTGGAAACGAGCTGCAAAAGAGATGATAGAAATACAGTGTCGAAGGCAAACCTTTAAAACACAGGTCTAATAAAATATACAGAAAAATGAGCCAGCGGAAACTGTGAAGGTGACATTTTTTAAAAATTTGGTTGGTGATGGGGATGTGGACATTTTCAACACGCTCAGTATCAAGACGGAGAAGACCTACTTTAACGAAGTCAGGAAGAAATGTACTATCTACTGTGTACAAACAAAAATGTCATATACGATGGAGCTGGCGTCTCTTTACAAGTCAAAAACCAGTTCCATCATAGAGTTGAAGACACTGGTAGCATGCTGCGAATATTTCGGGAATGATGATTATGGGAATGCTTCACCAAACACTTTTCCAAACTGAAAGACTAACCCTTGAAAAATTGGAAGTAAAATGCAAGGTTTAGCAGAAGGAAAGAAGCAGACGGACAGAAATCGACTCGCCACATCTTCGTTAGATCATAGCAGATAAACAAGATGCGAAATTCTTTAGACATTCTAAAATATGAACAACACACATCTGGTGCATTCATTGTTCAACAGGTGGTTCTTTCAAATCGACTGAAAACAAGCTGTAAAAGGGATTATATTAGTACAGCGTTAAAAGCGAACCTATTCGGATAATTCTTTCAAATAGAACAATAAAATACACAGTTTTATTACGCTGCCAGCCGGGACTCTCTTACCTTTTCCTTGAGCCTGTGCGATCGGTATCACCTTCACCCCTTGCAGCGCCTTGATATTGATCGCGGTGCCCTGAAATCCGGCGGGCAGCAGGATCTGCTGCGCCACGATCTGGCCGCCCTGCCCCTGACTCGCCAACACCACTCGTTGACCGCTCGTCGCGTTGCTCGTTTGTAGACGAATCTGTTGCCCGCCCAACACTATGTGACTCTGGCTAATATTCGGCGACTGCGACGACGAAGCGCCGCCACCGGGTGACGTGTTCGTTTTCGCGTTAGCGAATACAACCTGCTGAGGAAGCTGACCGCTCTTCACTTGCTGCCCGAACACGATATTTCCGCTCTGGTTCAATACGTTCAGGTTCGCTACGCTCGACGCCATCGAACTCTTCGTCGTCACCACCGGACTTTGTAACACCAACTGGCCGCCGCTAGACACCGGTTGCGCCTGTAATATCACGTTCTGACCGTGGAGGTTTTGAATCGTGCCCGATTTGCTAGCGAGCAGCACCGGTTTGCCGCCGATCGTCGTCAGATTCAAATTCGCGGCATTCACCATTCGTATCGCGCCTGCGTTCGTCGCCAAACCTTTCGTTTTGGCGTGAGACGACTTCGGTTGCTGACCGACGATCACTTTCGGTTGCACGATCTTCTGCCCGTCGGACGTGATGATTTTTGCGTTTATCAGCTGCTGCGCCACTTTTCCGGGCAACTTGGAAATTTGCTGCGTCCTCGACGATAACGACGACCTGGAGTGAGCTTTCGTGGTAGTCGTCGTCGTCGTCGTCGTCACCGTCGAAGTGACCGTCGCGGTGGTCGCGTACGAGGCCGCCACCAATTTCGGTTGCGTGGTCAGCGCTACCAAATTATTTTGGTTGCCGACCGTGAATTGGGCGATCGTGCTCGGCTTCGTGGTGCTCGTAAGGTGGATTATATTTTGATGTCCCGATTTGGTGCCCTGTACCCTTAACGTGGTACCTGGAACGGATGGGAACGGGTCCGGAAATTCTTAAAATTTTGTGTTTGGCGGGAGAGAAGTTTGAGAAAAGTAAATGAAAGAAATGCCGACCGTATTATTATATCGGTTCCACAAATAATTTATAAATATGCCTAAAAACCTTGCGGCCGATATAAACAACCGCCTAGCTCTGCCCGGCAAAAATTATAAATACTAAATCACTCTTCTCCTCACTCTTATAATAGTTTACTCGCTTTAAGTATTTACATAATCAGCATCTATACCCAATAACCACTTTTACTAGCAAAAGGTAAACTATATGTAATTTCTATTAATCTTGACAATGCCAATAATTACACTAAAGTTCTAAATCTTCTACAAAAAGCACACTGCACGAAAAGGAAGGGAAAAAAGAGTCACTCGTACGATGTCCACTTAAAAAAAAACTATATACAAAAAAACAAATGTATAATTATAATCATAGTAGACTGTGCTGTGGGGTGGAGGGGATATGTAGCAGCAAAATCTTAAATTAAGAGTGTGCACATCTGTACGATATCGAATTTTATTTGTTAGATACGATGGCGGATTTGTATTAATAATTTTATGAAACACAGCTGCGTGTAAAGTTCTGCGCTTTTCCATAGATGGCAATTTCGTTTCCGTTAATTTATAAGATTCAGGTTCCCTACAGCGAATGCATGTTTTCTGGACGGACTGTATTCTGTGGCGCAAAATTAAAATGACTAAGAACAAGTGAATCCGTAAGTCCGATCTTGTCACTCCTAGACAAAAGATGTCGATGGGGCAAAATACATTTAAGATTGGAATATACCATTTGCATACATTTGTTGACGTGAGATTTAAATCTTAACTCAGAATCAAAAATTGGCCCGATTCCTGCTCTGATCGTCACCGATTTTGATAATAATGTTTTGACACAATCTATAATTATGTGTTCCGAATAACAACAATTTTGTCATCGTTAATATAAAGTTGACCGATATTTACGCCTTTCGGAAAAAATGAAATATATATTTGTGTGTCGTCCGCAATATGGGTGCACTTTGCAGTATTTAATGCAGCTAGTAATATTACATGTGTATGTTGAAAATAATAAGGGGCCCATAATTGACCCCCGTGGGACTCCATAATTTTTTGTTAATTAATTTAATCGAATTAGCTCGAATTGGTATTAATAATTCATGATTTAGTCCATCAAATGCTTTGCTGAAGTATCATTAATATACTTATCGGTCTTAAATCATTAAAACTGTCAACATTTTTTTTTTACAAATTTTCCATGGTTTTGGAAAGGTATTTTCTAAGAAGAAAGTTAATAATGTTGGTAAGATCTGGGAGGGTTCTGTTAACGCATAATAAAATCATTTCCAGATTAATTAAACATAAAAGCGCTTTCGCCAAATATATTTGCTTTTTTGCAATAAATCGATATAAAATAATCCAACATCCAAATTTTGTTTAACGAAAACCCTGTATATCTGCAAGACCTTCGTCAATTTTCAAGAAATGTTTTTTTACAATTCTGTAATATCTTATTTCTCATTTGTGACCGATTTTTTTATTCGAAAAAATAATACAATCAACAGCAGACCGTGAAACCGATTAGAATAGAAATGTAAACTTTGGACTTTAACTACACTTTTTTAGAAACTTTTACGTAGATCAAAAAAAGAAACATGCTGCTTAAAAGACAATTTAATATTCTTTTTCTACTCCCGTCTGTAAAATACCTAACTATCCTTCGATCTAGTGTGCGGGAAGCGTCACTTTACCACGTCAGTCCGAGCCACTTCGGACATTTCCGGGATTTTACCGCGCGGATTTGGGAGCGATCGGATGTTTTCGGAGATATTTCCCACGCTTAGAATTTTGACGTTTGTCAATTCTGACGGTGATGTCGGTGAATGTATTCGTGTTTGTTTTGCGAAAATGTAGCCGAAAACCAACGGTCGTAGAAAAAGTATATTATGCAACACGTTCGGTAAACTTTTTACCGCACTTGTTGCACAATACACTATTAATTTGGGCTTAAATTTGGCAAGAGTGCAGATCTTTTATATGCGTAGCAACGGGTAAAAACAAATGAAATGTGCTTGTGTGGTAGTGGTAACGACAAAACAAATGAAATGTGCTTGTGTGGTAGTGGTAACGACAACACCAAACTTGTCAACTTTTGCAACCGAAATTTTTATATTTGTTTTTAATAATTTGGTTAGTGTTTAAGTGTATTAGCTTGATGTATACAACATAGCAAAAATCTGATAAAATTATTGCTTTAATCGAAAATGGACTTAGCCAATGAGCTGGTGCAATAACAGCTCCGTGAAGTACGAAGAGTGGCTATCAGTCAGTGGACTGTGAGAAAAAAACTGCGTGAAAATAACCAGACCCCAAAAACACCTGCAATTGGTCCAAAACTTACTCCAGCTCGGCGACAAGGCCGCCTACGCTTTGCGCGAGATCATCTGAATTGGACGCTGGAACAATGGGGGGTCTGTTCTGTATTCAGATGAGACCAGAATATGAAGCTGAAAGTGTACGGAATACCAGGAGAGCGATTTGCAGAATGCTGCATTGAAGAAAGGAGTGCTTGTGAAGGTGGTTCCTGCATGATCTGGGGTGCAATTTCTATGGACGCACGAACCGACCATATTTTCATCAGTAGGGGGGACCATGGTCAAGGCAGAGGAGAAGAATTCGTCTTTATACATGACAGTGCTAAGCCGCATACTGCAAGAATCGTCCAACGTTATATTATGGAAGTCGGTTTTTTCGAGTTATGGAGTGGCTAGCATGTAGTCCCAACCTCAATCCGATCGAATGTTTATGAGATGAGCTAAAACGAAGAATTTGAGCTAGAACCAACCTCGATTCCAGAGTTCAAGCAGTTGCAGTAGAGGAAAAGTGGTTAAACATTCCACAAAGAAACAATAGCGAACTTTATTAGATTTATGCCCAGTCATGTAAGAGATATTATTATTATTGTTATCATTAAAAAATAAGCGTTAAATTCTTAATGCTCAATAAGCCTATTTCTTTTAGTAATAAAAAGAGTTAATTTGATTCATGCAGTAATTTCACTCCGCAAAACCTAAGAAGCCGAAATATTAGTATTAAAGCATATTAAATAGTCTTTCAATCAGCATAATTCATTTTTTGATCTGACGACCGGTTTCTAGAAAAAATGTAAGTGTTTCTAGGACATTGAAAATCAATCAAATAAAGAAAACAAAAAAAAATTGTTAATAACTCAGCTTAACAATAATTTATTTAAAACGATTAATATTTCATGTTTGGTCGAGATACCAAAAATAAAAAATGAACCTTTTAAGGTTAATTCCAGCTCGGATAATGAATTTTTTTCAGGCGAAAAAAAATTTGAGGTAATTTTCAAATCTGCTAAAGTAATCTCTTAATACTCATAAATGAGGCTTCGGTGATTTTTGGCAAATAAAAAATGATCTCGGTTTGTGTTGCTCCAAATCTTTGTGTTAAAATTCTTCTAAAATTATCAGCTCCAAAATCCAACTATCGGAATTTCAATACTTGCATTTATTGCTGACATTCCACTTAACAAACTTATCATTGCGTTTTATACCGCAATTATGGACGTTAAATTTGCACACCCGCGAACGATGAAAACAATAATTGAAAAATAGTTTAACCGTTTTAAAAAATATATGTTCCTGTGGTGTATTGGCAACGCCGCATCCTGCGAAGACGACAACGCGGAGCTTGGTTGGAGCTGTGCTGTGGAACATGCGCGGTCTTCGTGGAAAAAGAACTTTGTATTAGTGGTATAAAGTTGTAAGTAAAGTGGTATAGCTGTTTGCTTTCGAAAACCCAGTACACGGACATATCATTTTAACGATTAACGATTAATCGCGTTAAAATCGTGTCAGTAAGTGTCCAGTTTCCCGGCAACGTAAGTGCGCGGCGTCAAGCCGAGAGAGGACATCGTGACGTCTTACGGAAATTTAGAACATTTCAACACTAACAATCCAAGAAGTTGGGACCCATATAAGGAACCGACGAAGGTATGTAATGTAACCTAAGAGATTACCAAAACCAGCTGATTTCTACAATTGGCGACATTGAAAGAGGACAAAAAGGAGCTACACTCCTACTCATTGTTACTCAAAGCAATGGAGCAAGCTTACTTGGAAGAAATTGATTTCAAAGTTTAGATTTGGCCATTACGGGTGTAAAGTAGATCAGTAGTTTGAACAGACTACATCAAGGAGTATCCGGGAGTTTTCGAGCCAAAATTAGGTCAGTTCAAGGCCAGTTATCATGTGCAAAGCGATGGAGCAAGCTTACTTGGAAGAAATTGATTTCAAAGTTTAGGTTTAGTCATTACAGGTGTAAAGCAGATCAGTAGTTTGAACAGACTACATCAAGGAGTATGCTAAAGTTTTCGAGCCAAAATTAGGTCAGTTCAGGGTCAGTTATCATGTGCAAAGCAATGAAGCAAGCTTACTTGGAAGAAATTGATTTTAAAGTTCAGGTTTAGCCATTACGGGTGTAAATCAGATCAGCAGTTTGAACAGACTACATCAAGGAGTATCCGGAAGTTTTCGAGCCAAAATTAGGTCAGTTCAAGGCCAGTTATCATGTGCAAAGCGATGGAGCAAGCTTACTTGGAAGAAATTGATTTCAAAGTTTAGATTTGGCCATTACGGGTGTAAAGTAGATCAGTAGTTTGAACAGACTACATCAAGGAGTATCCGGGAGTTTTCGAGCCAAAATTAAGTCAGTTCAAGGTCAGTTATCATGTGCAAAGCAATGGAGCAAGCTTACTTGGAAGAAATTGATTTCAAAGTTTAGGTTTAGTCATTACAGGTGTAAAGCAGATCAGTAGTTTGAACAGACTACATCAAGGAGTATGCTAAAGTTTTCGAGCCAAAATTAGGTCAGTTCAAGGTCAGTTATCATGCGCATAACCTACTGCAGAAAGATGTCGTGAAGGCTTATTATCTTTTTTTTTGGTTACGCAATACTTACAGGTTATGTTGGTTAATAATAAAGTCACCAACCTGAGTTCTAACTTACCTTGCGGCAAAGAGCCGTGAGCCTTCTGATGAGCCAGCAGACTCTCCACCGAAATAACCTGACCAGCGGCGTTCGTCAACACCTTCGCCACAACGGGACCCTGACTACCAGACACAACCTTTGTCGTCGACTCTGAAAACGGTTGACACCCCGCCATATAGCCATCTTTTTCCACTCCCGTTTGCTCCATACTACCTGGACTAGTCTTCAGGCCGGTCTTTTGCAACTGAACGAGACCGGCGCCCTTCTGCTTCAACACGACCTGTTGTTGCTGCGTCAAAATATTCGCGTTCGGAAGATATTTTTGTTTGATCGTCTGTAGAATCTGCTGCGTTTGCGACGGTGTCAAATTGCCCGGCGTTTTAATTTGCACCCCCGAAGCGCCGAGCTGAAATGTCGAAGAGTCCGAATAAGTCCGACATCGTTTTGAAAGGCGACAACAAACCGAACCTCGTTCTGAGCAGTTTGCTTGGACACGGCGACCGTGACGATATTTTGCAGATTTTGCTGAGACTCCGTCGCCAGCGGAGAGGAAATAGGAGTCAAACTCACGCTCGGTCCCGAACTGTTCGCTCTGAGCAGAGTTACATTTTTCATATTCTGCAACTGCTGAGGCGTGAGCCTTTGAATGATCTGTTGCTGAACGCTAACCGGAACTTTCGTTTTTTCTACCGTTTTAATCGGTTCAGAAAGCGACAATTCGCAGGTCGACTTGTTCAACGCACTTTTCTGCTGTTGCTTTTGATGCAAAGCGACGCTCTGCAGGAACTGCTGATTACTAAGCTGGCCCGCTTGTTTAACGGGTCTCTCCTTAATTTGTTTAATTATCTGAGGGTTGGAGGTGGGAATTATCAGAGACTTTCCCTGTGACGGAGACACTATCTTCATCATCTGCCCCTTTGTCATCGACTTTAATATATTGGGACTCGCCACTCGGATCTGGAGAGTCTCGGTAAGGTCGGTATCGACCATCTCGGCTTTAATCGGTTGTTTTATTAGGGATTTTGTGGCAGTGGAATTAGGAGATGGTTCGCCCTGGACCTACGACATTATCAGCGGTTAATCCTCGCAGGATCATCATCAATCGGTTTTAATGCGCACTTTTTGCGTTTTAAATTCGGCTTCGTTGTTTTTTTTTTTTAATATTTAGCTTTTTAAAGCTCAAAAAGCATTTAACAAAGTTTAAGTTAAAAAGGAACTTTAATATTAATTTTATATTTATACTACAATAACGCCTATTGTGAATAACCGAATGAATAAACGAACAAGTAGGATGGACGCCTTTACCTCTTGCTGAACACTTGGCGGATTATTGCTCAACAACAAACTCGTGGATTTTTGAGCGGTGGCCACCAAATTAGGTACAGCGACAGTAACAGTTTTCTCTTCTCTGGCCTGATTCTGCAGCACGCTCTGCCGCCGAACCGCTTTTGGCTTTTGCGACGGTTCAGTCAGCGTCACGGCCGGAGTCGGACCATTAGCATCGACATTCTGCGGACTCGGTTTGTGTTTGACCTGTTTGTCGGACTTGGCCGATTTCGGTTTGGCCGGAGATTTCCGGGTCGGTTTTTTCGTCTTCTGGATACCCTGGTACTGCTGGTGGATCCGTTCGAAATCGTCCTCGGTTCTGTGACGGTGGAGGTATATCCATATCTTTCTTTTTTGGTCGTACCTCACGCACGGATCCCACTGGGTGTGCATTCTATCCAGGGCGCCCGACACTACCGATTGCAGCACGTTATCGGGAGCAGAACTGGAAATATATTGAGACGATTTCAACAATTCGCAAATATCAGCCCTGGTTCCTTCGCCGTTCGGTAACCGTGCGGTGGCGTCACGAACTAACGACAGAATGGTGACAAAATTCGGTCTGTTGGCATTAAGCATCGTGTGACCCCTGGCTTTGGCGTTGCCAACTGCGGGGCTGTAAATTCCCTTGATCGGACCCACCACCGATTCATAACCGTTGCAACGATATGTAAACGCCTGTAAACAAACAAGAGTATGTATGTGTATGTATTTATAAACGATGTAAAAATAAAAAATGTTTTTTTTTTAAGTTTACAGCATTACCTTATGCGGATTATCATATCTGCGCCGCTCTTGCTCCCTGTATTCGTTAATTTCGTCAGTAGTGGCTTTCCGGACTGTCCAATTAGTCGGACAACGAGGCGGAGGTGGTGTGCTATCCCTAAAAGATAAATTAAGCAAAAATACAGCATACATACAGCTAAAAAATATATTTGGAAAGTTTCTTTTACCAACAGCGTACACATGGTGGCGATTGTTTTTTCACAGATGTAATCAGTTTAAAAATACTGTAAGAGGTAATTGAAGTTATTATATTTATTAGAATAACACATTTTTCACTTATCAGTCAAAATACTTAAAATAAAGTTTGAAAATTTATATCAGAAAAAGGTAAGTTGTAGAAACTAATAAAATGTGGTTTGCATGCCAAGTATACCCTACTCTAGTGGTCTCATGTATTGCCGCGTTGGCGTTGATGAATGAATATACTTGACAGAATTACAGAAAAAATATTCTTTTTTGTTTTTAATTTTCACTTACCGATCAACTACATCGATGTCCATATCTGTGGGGGACAGCAATTTGCTTTCGGATCGATGTTCCAGCCAAAAATTGCAGAGAGAGGACAAGAGTTGATCGGAATCTCTTCCCGCCCCTATCCACTGATATACGTCCAAAGAAATTTTATATTCCATATATGGAACAAAATCGTCTGGTTGTTCAGACGCATTCCCGCAAAGGAAAGTTATTGCTGAGGGTAGTATGCTGATCCAGTTGTCAGTGAAACTTAAAAAAATAAATTAAATCCAACGTTTTGGAAATCAAAGGCACGCCAAAAAGAAAATCAGGAAAACGTACAAGGCAAATATACAACAATTTGTAATTCTTAAATTACGAAAAATTTTGTTGTTTTTTCCACCATCTTGAGATTAAAAATTAACCGAAACCTTAGAAAACAATCATTTTAGACTGTATCCGTCAACGTTTCCGTGATCCTTACATCGAAATATAACACCCTGTATAACCTAATGACTATTACCTGTACCAATCGTTCAGGGGACTTATGGGATTCTCCTGCCACGACTTCAATCGTTCCTGCAAGGTATACATGTTCATCCTATGTTCGTTTGTCGAACATATAACATCCCTTATTAAGGAAAAGAAATTTGCGTGAGTTTCCTGCATCAATTCCGGTTTAACGCTAAACTCCATAATGTCAATTTCCGATGAATCCAATTCAATCGGCGTATTCATTATATCTATAGTCTCTAGTTCCTCCATTTTTATTGGTGTAATTTTACCGTATGGAGGAGTGATTGGGCCGATAGTTTTTATAGAGTTAGATGGTGTTGCCGCTAATGTACCGCTGGGCATTGAGTTGTATTGTATAGTTGGAGGCGGTGTGACTTTCTGAATATAATCTAGAGGCTCGGTTTTAATTTCTTCGATTTTGAGTTTCGTCACCGAGGTTCTAGTTCCGACCGCGTTTTTGTTTGGTTTTAGCTTTTTGCTTTGATTGCTAGGAACTGTAATGGCGTCAATGGTTGAATCAGAGTCTGAATCTGAATTCGAACTGTGATTGTACGTGGTGTTCGCCGATTTTACGGTAGCAACATTTTCCGGAGATTTCCTATAAGGCAAGGATTCCCGTTTCACACGTTTTTTGGACACGGGCTTGACATCCGAATGAATTGGTTTATGCGGTAGGTTCTTTATATAAGGAAGCTGGGTACGATTTATAATATCCGAGATTGTAATTCCTGAAAATGATAAGAACATTTAAGAAAAAATTATCTATCCATAAATTGAAAAAATATTTAACAAAAAAAATTATTTAACGCGGTTGCATTGAAATTGTGCTATTTAACATTTTTTTATTTAATAACTTTATATTGGCTAGTACCAAGATAAATAGCAACACAGATATTCTAATACACATATAGAAAAATCTTTTTATAGGTATTACGAGCCTAACAAATGTTTACATTTTGTTAATACATATTTTTCATATTATTTTAGATACCATGTAAGTGAAGTAATAATTTTTTCTATAAACATGTTTTGGAGTAGCTATATTATTATACAGAACGTTTCGAAACAAATGCGCAAAACTTAAGGGTGTGATTACTTATTTCTATACAGGTTGGGTGGAAAGCCAACCAATAGGGAGATCTCGCGCTACAGATATTACAGAAAAATATATTTCTTTTATCTTAAAAACTAAAATAGTGTTACTATTACAAAAACACACTTTCACACATTTTACATTAATAATTTAGTTATTTTGTACTAACATTACTTGCCCCTACATAAAATGCATATCTGCCATTTCTGCATTAGTGTAATTCACCATTAATTAATTTAAACTCTTATTATTAAACAATGAAATGATTAGATAATAAATTTTTGATTAAATTAGTTGTATTTCATATTGAAACTTATTGAACAATATCAAAATAAAGCAATAACAAATGTTTTAAGAAGTGATAGTAGCCTTATAGATTTTCTTATCTAATAAATTCACGTCATATTTTATTGTTTTATCTGGAAGCGGTAAGAATCATGAAAAGATTGCATGCGACAAAATTTTTTAAATAAAACATAAAATTAGAAAAATATTTTTTATGTTGATGCAAAAGTTTTTCCTTACATTTGGTGAAGAATGATAGGGGTAGTCTAAGTCAATCCTCTATACTGATAAAAATACAAAAAAAATACAGGAAGTGTATTTTTATAATCGTAATACTTCCGTTTTAAGATAAAAAAAAGAAACATTTTTCCGGCATATTTATAGCGCGATACCATCCTTTATGTTAAACAAGGAATCACCACTTCAGTTTTTCGCATTTGTTTTGAAACACCCTGTACAAAAGAAACCCTACTATAAACAATCAATTTCTACACAAAACCAAAAAATATATTTTTCAAATAATCTAAAAATTTTATTTTAGTTTTTTAATGTATTAATTAACTTGTGATACACCAAAAAAAATTTTTTATAAACCGCCAAACATTAACAAGCACATTAATATATTACAAAAAAGAGTCAAACTACCTTTAGTATTGAATTCGGGATCATCCAAATACTCCAACTTTCTTTTCTTATGTTGATATAAAAGATTCTTATACAATTCATCATTGATATAGAAAGGATTGTGATGTGGGGTAATGTATTTTTCCAAATCAACACAAAATCCATTCAGTTTGGCTACCATGGTAGAAGCAAACATTTTTTCTTTAGAACCAGTAAATGAATTCCTAATACCATTCAAGTGACGCTTCTGCTTCCTGGACAAGCCGGGCGGTGGCCCTTCAGGGTAATTTTCATCTGAAGAGCAATCAGTATCATCTGTTTTTGATCTTATGGATGCAAGACTTTGAAAGTACCGTCTTTTAGTCCTATGAGAAACATAATTTACACTGACTTTACGTTTTTCCTGCTTAGGTTCCACTCCTGGGGGTAAATTCCTTATTTGGTTCAACAGCTTCTCCTGAGATTCAATAACTTCATTTTTGAGTTGTTCTCTAAAACTACTGTACCTATATTTTGCTTCTCGTTTTTCCGCTTTGCAAATAACTTTGCGCATACGCGCTATGTCAGGCCGATAATACCCAGCTTTCAAGTTTTCATGGAACTTATTTAATGGATTTCCAAATCGAAAGTTGTCAAAATCAAACAGCCTCTGTAATGTTTTCGTCTTCTCCAATTCATCATTCTCTGGAAAATTAGGCAGAAATGTCTGGAGATGCTGCTTGTCTTCGTCAGAAAATGAATTCCACAGTTCAACGGTAAAAACTTCATCAAATACATCTTTCTTTTCGCACAAGCCCTGAGGTAGCTGTAATTTTACGCCTCCAACCTGAGCAGTTTCCATGCCATCCTCATCTGAAGAATCTGTTGAGTAATCAGAGGAAGAGCTATCTTCTGAAGTTGTATTATCTGCCATAGGGCTTGGAATTACTCGCCAGTTGTATTATGCGAAAATAAGGCTCAAAGGTGCATGACCCCTCTTACGTTTACCACCGGCTATTTGAAGCAGCACATTTTCAAAAACATTGTATCACTAAGTTCACCAAGGTCACCTTACATTTATGAAATAATACACCGCGAGATCCGTATGCATACTCGTTTATTTGGACATAATTATTGCACGTTCCGCTCAAAGCTCGATATATTGGAATATCAATAAACAATTCACGGGATTTAAAAAAGGCGGGGAGGGGTGACGGTCGGACAAAATTCACTTTTGAGAAAACGAACCTCCCCGTCCGACGAAGAATTTCGCCTAGAAATATTCGGGCCGCACACACTTTTAGCTGGTTGAAACGAGGCACGCCTGCATTGCAGATATGCCAAAGCAACGCATATCCGAGTTGACTGGATCGCCGCGAAACCATTTTGGTAGCGGCCATCAAAACCAAAACACGCCACTAGAAGACTTCGAAATAACATCACGAAAGAAGTTATAATGTAATCTTGTGGTTCATTTTAAAGTTCACGCTTATTTAAATAGTATGCACCAAAAACAACCAATAATTAAGCGAAAAATAACCCAAAAATTAAGAAAGAAAATTCATCATTTTCACCATTTGAATATTTACAGTGATGTATTTATGTATGGGTTGGTATTAGTGAGAAATGACATTTGCGCGCATGACAGTTAGCATCATCACCAAAATGGCGTTGAATTTGGTAGTGAAGGTTCATCCTGTTGTTTTATTTCAAATTGTGGATGCTTACGAACGCAGAAATGCCGACACCCATCGAGTGATAGGAACCCTATTAGGTAAAACTTCATTATATGTTATTATACATTTAAAATTTTTGCTTCCATGTGGCCATAACCTTTTGCATTATTTTGAATATTCAGGATCTTCCGATAAAGGAATAGTAGAAGTTACAAATTGTTTTTGCGTGCCTCATAAAGAATATGACGACCAAGTGGAAGCTGAATTGTCCTACGCCATGGACGTGTATGAGTTAAATCGAAGAGTAAATTCGAATGAGGCTATTGTGGGGTGGTGGGCTACAGGACATGAAGTAACCAATCACAGCTCTGTTATTCACGAATATTATTCCAGAGAATGTGTAAATCCTGTCCATCTGACCGTTGATACAAGTTTGCAAGTAATTAGATCCATATTTGTTGATTTTGTAATATTTTGTATATTTTATAGGGTGGCCGTATGGGATTAAAAGCATACATCTGTGTTTCATTGGGGGTACCTAATGGAAAACAGGGATGTATGTTCACTTCAATTCCTGTAGATGTCACCTGCTATGACCCCGAAGTATTTGCACTGCAACTGTGTCAAAAAACCATAACTGCTGGAAGACCGAAAAATGTAAATCCCATGGTAGATTTGGCACAAGTTGCAGAGGCTGGTGCAAAAATGGGTTCCTTACTAGAACAGGTAATGTTCTATCTATTATTAGGTAATTGTTGTTTAAGGATTGTTATATTACAGGTACTTAATTATGTTGAAGATGTATTAGCTGAACGTCAACCAGCTAACAACGAAGTGGGACGTAGTCTTTTGCACCTTGTAAATTCTGTACCACACATGACAACAGAACAGTTTTCCGAAATGTTTAATAGTAATGTAAAGGATTTGCTAATGGTCATCACCCTATCACAACTAATTAAGACACAGCTCCAATTAAATGAAAAACTCACTCTACTGACTTCTGTGTAACATTATTACGAATTTTTTTTATTGTTTTAATACATTTTCAATAATGGATAGCTTTTTTTACCTGTATTCTATTTTGCATACAAGTTGGGACAGTAGAAAATATATAAATCGTCTGCAATACAAAATAAAATTAAATTATTTCTAATTAACAAATTTTACAAAATTTTTAGCGATACTCAATGTTTCAAATGTTTGAAACTACAGTAACAATCCCATTTGTTAAAACAAGGTGTTATGTGTATTTATTTATAATCTTTGGGAAATAAAAGTTATCTGTATGTGGAAGGTCTGCAGATAAAAATTGTGACATGCATATTCAAAAAAACTGATGGGGTGGGTTAAGTAAGTAATCAGATAACCAACATATTTATTTTCTTTTAGAAGATATAATTGAACAAGCTTAGGCCGTCAATAAAGACCAGTTAAAAATTAAAAAAATACATAATGGAGACAACATTATATAGTCTAATACATTCTCAAATTTCAATATTTTATTCGATATCACAGATATATTATGTAATATTTTTTCTAGTAGTAAAAATTCAACAAAAATTAATAACAATGGCTTCTCCATAATATCACCGAAATGAGTAAAAATTACTAAGTACCAATAAGTTATGCTCCAAAGTTCAAGTACAAAACGTCTCCTCATCCTCAGGCACGATAGACACTGGCACAGCATGAAAAATTCAAATTTGAAAATTAGTTTGACGAATCGGCGAGCAACTCTTCTTCCTCATTACTTTTGGATCGTTCCCGATACACCAAGTACCCAAAGAAAAACATGAGCCCCAACGAAAGTCCAATGAGGCCATATCCTATATAGGTCACCAGTTTCCTCAAGATTAGGAGGAATCGGGTCAAAAGTGCCAAGCTTTTTGATATTTCCGCTCGCTGACAGAACCAAAAGCTGGGAATCATCGTAGTCGTAACATTTGAAAATATGCTGAAAATCTTCCATATCGCACCATATTACCGATTCAAAATTTACCTTACTTGATGCCAGCGATGTTTAACATCAACAGGTTTAGCTGAAATGCGGCAAAAACGTTCAAGGGAACTCCCGTATCAGGTTCGAGGGAAAGATATGTGGTGTGATTTGCGGCGGTCGGGTTCATTCCCTCCACTTGTTCGACATAATGCCGATCCGCGAGATAAAAGTGGGGAAAGGACATATAAGCCGGGGCGTTGTATCTTAAAAAAGAGGGGGGGGGCATTTAGATTCGGCGTGGAAGGAAACGGCAAAATCCTACTTGCACTTAGATACAGATCTCAATCCTGTTGGGTACCCATTGGCAAAACATTTCTGTTTCGGATAAAATGTTCCATTGTCGAAAACGTCGTCGCGGGCTATATATTTGTCGCCTACGAGGCCGTAAGCTTCGTAGGTGCCGTTTAAATGCAGTTGTACGTTGCTAAAATGGTGACGTTTCATAAACAGTTTGAATAATGTGTACAGCAAAGGCGTATAAGAAACGGAGAGTTAAATAGTGACTTTGTCATTTGTAATTGAACTTTACAAATTTCCGCCGAAGGTACATGATGGTTTTTATGGTAAATACTGTCCTGCATTATTTTTTTGCTAGGAAGAAACCGGGATTGTTTGTAGTTAAGTTCGCCGACGATACACCGTTTTTACAACCTTTTATGGTTTTCACTTCAGAACGAGTTTAAGACCAGTCTGTTGTAAAGCGGAGGGTCCATTCTTTTCAACACATGTACCACAAGCTAGGGCAGTATTTCAGATGTTAGTCGTCAAGACCTGTGCCGTGCGGCAATTTTCTTTCTTTCATTAAACTGTTATATTAATTCATATTACAGTCCCTACTTGAGGTAGCTCGATTTCAAGTTGAATTTATTTATATTTATATTACAAACACATTAGAAAGCTTAAACTGATTTCCAATTTTGAGGGTTTCACATAATGACTCTAAAATATTTTCCTAGGAAAGCAATACAAAATCTTAGGTAGATAATTGATTTATGATAAATGTTTTCCTTGTTTGCTATTGGTTGATTTGTGGCGATTGGTGAAAATTAACGTCCGAGATAACTAAAACACCGTATGTCACAAGGACATAGTGACATAGTTGTGAATGGTGTCCAAGAAAGAAAAACGCGGAAAGATCGTGGGGTCCTAAAATGTCTATTTGACATGCACCATGCCGGGATAGTGAGAAGGTTGATATATCAAAAGAATACGGTTTCAACAATTAAAACTTTACATGAAGAGTTGCGTAGTGTTTTGAACACAGACTGTTGCCAAGAAACTTTGCGTTGGTTCGTACGGACAATTGGTTTGATAGCCACGATACCGCCAAGAAAGGAAATTCTTAAGACGGGAAAGTTTGATGAGAAGTATAATGTGGACAAATTGACCATGGATCGGGGGATTCAAAGTTCCACCACATCACTGCAATTTTAATCCGATAGCACTGATATGGGGACAGCTAAAATCCAATTTAAGAAGAAACAACACCTCACGAAATTTAATTCTGGGGCAATAAAATTGATTAGAAGTGAAGTAGAAAAAATATCTGCTTTTAGTTGGAAAAAATGTCATTGAAGAAGAAAGTGGTTACAGAAGTCGACTAGTGGGGGACGAGTCGTGTGACGATAGTGATAATTTTGATGTAGAATAACTTTTTTTATATGCATACTCTAACATTGTTTTATATCTAAATTTATATTAATAATGCATGGACTAATAATAATCGAGGAGTCTCACCGATGAAACTCTACAGAAATCCGTCAACTTTCAGCATTTGTATGCACGAAGTACCGAAGTATGCTTCTGGAACATCATTGCGGAATTTCGAATTTATTAATTTTTTTGAGAGAGAAACCCAAGCGAGGTAGGCCTGGGGTTAGACTCTCATCAAAATTTACCAAAGTGAAATACCGGATTATGTCGTAAAAACAGTATATCGTTTGGGTAACTCTATCAGTTTCTTACCCAGGATTATATATCCGCTCTGCGGGATCGCAATTTTGAGGCTATATATATTGCGGTAGAACGGGAACTACATCATGTGTGTTCCGTTGTAGTTGTGCAACGTTTTCAAAAATGAAAAATGTTTGAGCTGTTTAAACGGCGGATTTGCTTGAACACCCGGTTGCTCAACTTTCATTTAGCCGAAATCATTTACATAAATAAATATTGTACTTTTGAACTTAAAGCATAGAATTACAAATATTTACATTAAAACTGACGTTTGCTCTGAATTGTTTTGGGATCATAAAAATATATAATATAATTTTCATTTTATGAAGAAATTTTAATGATTTTAGAATAATCGGAATCGATTACATTAAAATTACTTCGGATTTTTAAATTTTTTTGGAATACAAAAATGCATATATATATATATATATATATATATATATATATATATATATATATATATATATATATATATATATATATATATATATATATATATAATGTTTTGTGCAATGAAAATGTATCACAGACACACCAGTAATAAATAAATTATTGTATTATTTAATATTAGCTTTTTTTGTAAAAAACTTTTTTACATGTGTATTATTTTATCCTCATGTTTTGGTTAGTTGCAGTTTTATTGGACCTGATTTCGGTTATTCTAAAATCCGCAAAATGAAAACGATGCATTTCTGCATTGTAAAGGTAAATATTTTTTTCCCATCTATCAAATGGAGAAGGGGTATTCTCTACATCATTTCCATCCCAGACGCTCGAAATCCTTGGATACATTTAGGGGAAGGTTTCGAAAGAATATAGCGATAGAAATGAAAAGGAGAAGCATTGGCTGAGTGATGGTGAAGCTAGGTCTAATACTCGAGAAACATTTTTCATCATATTTCCGTATATCATAAATCTTTTACTAGATTTACGTCTCGCACGAAAACGAAGTACAGAATAATTTATAATAATATAATAAATTCATAGAATAGAATACAATAATACCATAATTGAAATCAGTTATATTAAAACAAAAAACTAACCAAAATTAACCAAAACATGGACAAAAAATGCAAGCGAAAAGAAGGTTTTTATACACAAAAAATTTAATACCGATAATACAATATTTGCGTTGCACGAAATACATATACAAAGAATGTTTGTTTCGCTTATTAATAAAAAGAAAAATTTGAAGTTATATACATATGTCGTTGATCTCAATAATACTTAAAAATTTTAAAAACATAATATTTATATATTCAAAAATACATTTAACATCCAAAGCAAAAAGCAATTTTAATGGAACTAATTTTGGCTATTCCAAACTCATTAAAATTTCTTCATAAACTGGAAAGTACATATTCCCACAGGATGTTTTTATGTTCACAAAAACATTTAGAATTCAGAGGAAACATCAGTTTTAATGTAACTGATTTCAGCAATTCTAAAACCGGAAATGCAAATGATGTTTTATTCGAAAAAGTACAATTCTTAGTTATGTAAATGATTTCGGCTAATCGAATGTTGAGACGCTTGCTGTTATTTTTGAGAACGTTACTCAAGTAAATGCATTTTACAGGCCCACCCTAAGAATCAAGCAAATTACTGATAGGCCCTAAACTACTATAATTCACCTACACTTTATTAAGTGACAGTCCCAAAATACTTAATATTCTTTAAACTATCAAGATAAAAAGGAATAAATTAATAATTTTTACGTTAAAGGCTTAGGGTATTGAGTTTTACAATATACCTGCAGAGATCTGGTGCAAATAGGGAAACCTCTTCATCACCTTTTGGGGGATACCACAATTCGCCTGAAGTTCCATTTATTATCCCACACTCGCCGGGATAGTAGCTGGTTTGGTGTTCATAATTCCACTGAGTTATGATTCCAAGTTTAGATCCATCATGCTCACCAGAATACATGTTGAACACTCCATCAAAATCTATACTTCCATTTCTCTAAAGTGAACTTTTAAATATGATATCCACTTGTTTATGAAAGAATGAGGAAAAGGGCAACTACTCACATTTACAAACCAGCCAAAAGTCTTATAAGGCAAATTTAAGTTGGAGATATTGAGCTTCAGGGCAATATTCAACAAAGTGTCATTGTATCCTTTAAACAAAAATTCATCCACGGTTCGTGTGATAGTGAGGTAAACTTCCTTCTCTTCAAAGAAAAAATTAACCGCTCTTCTTACTAGGTAATGCTCATCTTTTACCATGTTTGCAACAAACTGCAATTTAAATGTAAAACAACTGTACTCTAAACCAATAATCAACATACCACAGCGATTGGATTTAAAGTGGTTATGTTATCATCCAAAGATCCAGTACTCATATCTTGTTGGAACTTCCAAATCCTTTGGGTTTTATAAGTAACAGTATCATTATTATTAAAAGTTACATTCTGTCGTATGTGGTGTTCATAATACACATATGGGCCGCATTCTTGAAATTTGGGTTTTGCTCTGTATTTTATAACATCTTCCGAATTGGTCCAATTGAACATGTAAAATTCAAGGTACATCGGTATTGGAGTTTCTTTCCAGTTTTTAAAACCTTGTGTTTTACTGTCCGACACTGTAAGTTGCTAAGAATGAAAAAAAAAGCAAGATATCAGAATCATACCTACTTAATTTTAAATAGCTAAATATGAGTGCCAAAATCCTCAATCAATGCCAAATTTTTTACATAAAAGAGGGGAAGGAACATTGATCTTTATCATTTTGAAGTGCTTCGAGTGCGTCTCAAGGATATTGCATATTGCATGAAATTTAATATTTGATTGATTCAAATTATTTACAATTTTGCAAAAAAAATATATGTATATAGGTACCAACCAGACCCAAAACTAATCTAATACTTACATGCCTAAGATATCTGCCATATGAGTCATGCCAGAAGATTGAAGTCAGTAACCCAATTACAAAAAGGAGAATGGAAATAGAAAATGTGGTCCACACTTTGCACTTCGGTGAGCAGTACCCCATACCATCTGAGTAAAAATGTACCTGTGATCTACTCTTAATAAACTTTGTATAAATGGCTAACAAAAATTGAAAATATTCGACCAATAGTTATCTATCTTCAACAATAACAGCAATAATGAACATCTGACCTGACCCTGGCCACTTATTAGTCATCCATTATCAAAGCAACTATTACATTGATACGGTCCCCTAATTATATTCAAAAGAGACACGACCGGTAATTGTAAGAAAACTACTTCTTGATCAATATACATGCAACAAGGGTTTTTCCTGCTGGAGTACTTACACTTTTCAGACGTCTACCTCATAAAAAAAAAACGTATGTTGCAGAAAAACAATAACACTTGTTATCTACACTTGATTTCGCTCTTTGGTTTTTTCGAATATTGCTTAGAAAAATTTCAATTAGCTTATTTATATTGAAATTTGCAGGTAGGTGACTTTTTTAATATAAACTAAGAAACAAAATATGACACAAAACTACACATTCAACAAATCAAATTACTCTCTCTCACCTGAGCGATAAATGCGCCTCAAGCGGTCCATGAATAAACAAAATCTTAAAAATGATGTAAATTTTTTGAAGCCCTTGCAATTTTTTTGTTTTTAATCATGGTAAACACTCTACGATTGTAAAAGCCCATAACTATGCTCTCTTCGACACGCATATGGGTTAGCCAACAGTTATAGGTTAAATTAATCGACAGAGGACTTGTGTACTATACAGGGTGGACCAGCTTTTTTTTAACAAACTTAGTTTGTAAAAAACTTTTTTTTTTATTAAAAAATAGTCCATATATCTCCTAAATTGCAAAAAAAGAGGGTAAGACAAGCGAGGATATCAATAACAATTTAAAATACTTTAATAAAAATTTACTAAGCTAACAAAAAAATACTCCAAAAAACCGAAACTGGGAACGAAATACAAGATCAAAAACACTTCCACAGTGATATACTTTCACAATGTACAGAATAATTTTATTTGTTAGTCATTGTTTACAATAAATAGCAAAAAATATCACAAAAATGAAATTACTCCAACTCGAACATGGGCATTTCCCATGTAGCAATGTTACAAACCTAAATAACATTCATAATGATATTATGTACATCGGTAATTACATAGTGCTTCCAGCATACTTAGACATACACACCTAAAGAGTTTGTTCTAGCGTGGCACTTTGTCACAGCATTAAAAAAAAATACTTTACGACTTCTCCACCTGTTTAAAACAAATTTACAATTGTTACCATAGTCCTCCATTCTGACACCTAAATTGAAATATAAGAGTGCTTCCCACTTCACTTCCCGAAATATTATATAAAAAATAAAATCAATCAGAACAAATTGCATGAACAAGGCTTCAAGTTCCAATTGCCATGCTACTATGTACACCTTGTTTTATCAAGACATTAGAATCCCAAAGGCGGGTAAAGCTGACTACTGCATTTTGGAAACCTCAAATCTTGTGTTTACTAGTTCTTCATCAGAATCTAATATTGGCAATGCTGGGTCGCTCTTAACATTCTCCTCCAACCATTTCAATTCATCATCAACAGAACTGTGGGTCGAATTGGATGGTTTCTGATGATGTATTCTGACCTTGACTCCATAGGCGTCATTTACTAAATGATCTTCCTCTTCACCCTCATCTCCTGTATCCAAAAGAGGTACAAAGGCGTACCTTTGATTGTTATTGGTGGGACGCCACAAGATCATGATCACCAATAGAATGCAAGAGAACAAGATGTGCCAAAATGCTTCCTCCAACCATAAATCTTTCCAAACTGTCAAGCATTTCACATAATGGTGGACTTTGATGCAATACAACATAAAAATCACAGAAGCGACCACAGAGAATATAAGAGTGTTTGTAAAATGACGATATAAAGAGAGTTTTGTCTCATTTCGGCGCAGCCTCAAAGTTCTGGTTGTGTTTACCAATGCTGAAAATATCCACCAGCAAATTGCAGAATCGAGAACGGCTAGTGGAACTGAGGCAACCAGGAGGTCCTTGCCCGACTCAGCTTTCGCTTTTGTGATTCTTAAATAAGCCTCCAGAGCGGCTAGGAAAAAATACAGCAAACCTACACCTACCACTCTATGCAATATAGAACCCAAGCGAGGTTTTACAATGCCAAAGCCTAAACTGACAATTATCACTAGCATTCTTGCTAAAGTCCTCTTAGCACACGATACCCATTCTGCAAAAATCATTGCACCTTGAACTTCAACACCTGTATTATTTATACTTTGGTATTCGGCATAGAATGTTGCTTTTTCCAACATTCCGAGTAATATAACCCCTCCAATCCAAAATTGTACCCTTAGCAGATCCCTCCACTGCATAAATGAAAGCAATAACCAAATCAAACCGAGAATAATATAATATATACACATGCAGCCATAAAAAGGAAGCAAAGGCCAGTCGACTGCCGACAGATACCCATAATCATTCTTAATTTCAATATGTACGCCTATAGCAAAGTCTGTAACATTTGATGCAAAACTCATTCCTAAAACGTAGATTCCGTCATGTGAAATGACATGAAGAGGGTACATTTCATCCCCAGAACTTTTCCCTGGTGGAATATCACCATCTTTCAAGAAAATGTGGTCATTACATGAATATGTCTCAAAAGAATGATAAACCTTTGAAGAATTAACTGGAGATCTGTTGGATATGATAATCTGGAATAAGAACATACACTAAAGATAGTTAAGCAAATAATTAAAACTTACATCCTTAAGCGCATTGTAAGTATCAGTAGGATCCCAACAGGGAGACTGAAGTATAGCCAAATTAATGCTAATCTTGGATTCTTTTGTTTCGGCATCACAATTGACTGCAATAAAAAAAAATGTAACTACTGTTTTGCTTGTGTCAATAACTATACAGCAAATACAATTGGAATTAACACTAGACAGTCTATACAATAACGTACATACTTCTGATATAAACTTTTGCACCCTTGTATAAACTTTTCTCTCTATAAATCATTTTTGATGCCTGAAAAGTGAGAGAATTGTATGTTTCAAAATATGAAATTTATATTGAAATTTACCGATGTGACTGTGTAATCCCATTTGCCTTCATCTGGCAAGGAACCTTCTATCGAAACCGACAAGAGTATTAATATAAACAAATACATTATACGACTGTAACTCCAATAGACACTAATTTTTGTAATATTTAGTTATAATTAAAATTTATTTATCTATGCACGTCATCTTTATTTTCAAAGAAATTCACACTTCACAGACACAAATGTGCACAGAATACTTCTTCCTCAAAATTTTCAGGCAGTTAGAAAATTGTCAGAGTCATTCGTCCACCAGAAGTTACGTAGAACTGTTGACAAACCTTGAACATATACAGCACAGCACAGAAATAAATTAGGGCTATGGTTTTAAAATTGTCGATGGATGTCGGTACCAAACGAGTGTCCTTAGCTAATATGCCAAATTTGGTAAAACGAAGAAAAGGAAACTTATTTGTTTCGCCGAATGATTCTGATAATCTGGCTTCTTATAATAGATAAAAAATGTATTTGTAAACGTCAAATTATTTAAAGAAATTTTAAGGTTACAAACAAGAAAACACTTTTCCTTGGAGTCGCAGTAGATTTGGTTATTTGTTTCCCTAAACGGGCATTGGAGAAATTGGAATGAGTACACCATACAAAACATACCTTAATCAAATAAGGGAAAAACCTGTCATCCATGCCTATAATATTTTGATGAATATTACTTAAGACTCACTTATTAATGGAACATTTGAGATGGTAACTCTCTTAAGTAAAATTCATTTTTGGACCACTCAGGAAGATGTAATTCTAAAAAGCACTGATTGGGGAGCATTCAAGTAAAACACCAACCCTTTGTTCCAATCTATTAAGTATTTATTTTAATTAATTTTAGATACTATTTTAAGAAAGATTCAGGCAGTTCTGTTTATGAGCAAGCCAAGAAGCAGTATTGTGACCAAAGTGGCATTTTATATGTTCCTCACAACAAAAGACCAGAAAAACTAAGAGATAAGTTAAAGGAGTTTGAAGAACACCTAATTCACAATAAAGTTGTTTGTTATTCCTGGGACAATAACAAGTTAAAATTGTTGTTGTCCACAGGGTTAATTACTGTTTTAACATTAAACGAAAGAACTGGGGACTTATTGAGCATTAGCTTTGATAAACAACTCTCTTCAAAACTTCAGGTTAATATAATTTGTGACGGTAAGTGCTATAATATGCTGTTTCTTAATGCAAGAGAGTAGTAAAATGTAAATTTGTTATGATAGGGGTCATTAAATGCTTGGTTATATCCTAAATTTCAGATAAATTGCAATGATAGTTCGGGGAAAAATTCCTATTTTAATTTTTAAAAACCTACATCCATGGGATGGAATAGTTCCTAAATTAGGATCACACTAATTTACATACCATACAAAGATGGGATAATAATAGAGATGGCAGATAATTGAGATATTAATTATTGTAAGATCAAGTGAATACAAACTTATTTAGAATTAAGCCTAATATGAAAATAGATAAATTATAACAAATATTTTTATTTAAAAACAATCTATTTACAATGCACATTCTGTATAGTCGTTGGAGTCCAGAGAAGTAATAAGGGGCTCTACAATTTTTTTGTAGCATGTTATCAGCTTCGCATATTCTTTCTTCTCTTTCAATTATATGTTTGAAGCACTCCATTTTTGATAATCCACTGTCCATTCCACACCATCTTGTGAGAGGGTTTCAACGTCCCTCATTTTAAAAGTGGTGGTATGCCTTGTGACAAACTCTTTTAATGGCGGCTATACCAATTCTAAAGGATTTAATGCATAGTGATATGGAGGAAGGCGAACTACTGTTATATTTCGTTTTGAAGCGATTTCGTCAACAAATTTCTTACAAAGAAGTTAATTTCACGGTTCTCTAAAGTGCTTAGAGTTTATTTATCACGAAAATATATATTCTTCAAGGTTTTAGTTAGTAAACTTAATTGCAGTTTCATAGTTATTTTCCTTCCTCCTGATGGGCAGCGATTATTTTCTTGCACAAGTCGGTACATTGTTGACTATCCAACTCCAGTCGTATCCAAACAGACTTCAACTATTTTTGCAACTCTGAATGATCAGTTTTGGTGTCCATCTACTTGCTGCAATCGGCTTTAATAATAATTTATAACTCTCTCGAATTAAGAAACAATGCATAGTGTTCTATTAAAGAGTAGCTAGAGCAATTATTCTCATAGGTATATTGTTTGGGTCACAAGTAATTTGCGTCTGCAATGATGGCCATGTACTTGGGTTTGGTGGCCCATGGAGAGATGGTTGGGTGCTTGAGGGAAGTGCAAGACGTCATCTTAACTTTCATAATGATTGGTTAGTGGCTTGGGGTAAGGCGGGAGCAGAACACCCTCAACCTTGGAGTCCCTTGGCAAAGGACCATCAAAGGGCTAATTTGCATTTATATGGCATTGGAGTTAGGGAGCCTGAATTGTTAGCTTATAAGAAAACTGAAGGCGAACCTCTTCTAGTTGTTATAAGCAAAGTTTCTAAAGGCACTATTATTTTAGTGGAACAGAAAGTCACACAAAAAGGTATCTTATTGTTATCAGGATCACTGGGTGCACAGTTATAGCCCCCATTTTTAGGAGCAGTGTCAATTGAAGTTATCAACTTTGAATTAATTGGAAACAATTTAAAGAGAATTTCGGTCACCTCAGTGCCTCTTCAGACCCAAGTCAGCTGTTCTGCTTTAAGTGATTCAGAAGATCGTTTACTTATTGGATGTATAGATGGAAGTTTGGCGCTTTTAGATCGAAACCGCGGTTCGACAAGAACAATTAAAGCTTCATTTATACCAACACTTGCCTGTTGGCATCAACAAAGCGTAGGCAAACAATCACAAATTTATATATATATATATATATATATATATATATATATATATATATATATATATATATATATATATATATATATATATATATATTTTAGGTTTTAGTTGCAATTGCGAACGAACGAGGCCTCATACAGTATTATGACACTGCTTTGACTTGCGTTAAAAGTCAATTTTTAAGCGAAGATTGCACTCCAACCGCGTTGTTAGATTTATCAGGTTATTTCAGTGCCCAGTCCAGAATTGTTTCAGTCAATTGGGGTCCTAAAGACTTGATCGTTTCTTTCGAGCAAGGACCATTGGCCTTAATCACGCATGTTGTAGGCTCTTTAAATTTTAAAACAATTGGAAAGAGATATCTTGACTCGGGTAAGATATTTAGGGAAACATCATAAAAAAAGGCCAGAATTGGTGCAATTTTAGGAAAAGTTGACAAAGCAATTAAGTTACTATTAAGTTGGGAATTTAATGAAAAATCGTTTTACATTTTGCAAAAAATTGTCGCTTATTTGCTAAGAAGGCCGCTGTCTGACGAAATCGCGCAGCATTTACAAAATGCCCTGGGTAGTTTTCACAGTCCCGCTCTCCCTCTGTCGTATCAGGTTAGACATCGATTTGGCCATCAGGTAAATTTAACTTGGAAATTTTAAATGATGGCAAAATCATAGCTTTTTAGGTGTTTTCGCTTACGAGACGTTTTTTCCACCAACTGGTAAGAGCCAGTATGTTTGAAACTGCGTTCTTGTTGGCCGTCGACATAGGCCATCATGATTTGTTTATGGATCTCCACTATATTGCCGTAAAAATCGGTGAAACTGAAATGGCGGCTGCTGCCAGAGCTCAGGCATCTGCATTATTAAGTCGGTGTTCAAGTGAAGGTATATGCCATTGTTTGCTTGTTTATTTTTATCTATTTATTAATTGACAGATCATAGTTCCAATAAAAGATTACCATACTATTTACAAATCTGGATTCTTCCTGCGTGGGTTGTTGAATTGAAATTGCTGACTCTTGACTTGACTTCAGACCTTAACTGAAACTGGCTCACATTGTACTCCGTACAATATATTGTTTGAGGGGCGGGGTGGGGGGGCATGATTCCTATATTGGTACATATATACATAACTAAATGAAGTACTGTATCCGAATCATTTAGACATCTTGTGGGTTCTTTATTTCTCTATAAATTTTAAAATCTTGCGGAACTCCTGAAGCAACAAAATTGTTTTTTTCCGGATATTCATATCTCTTTTTAATTCCCTATGTGACGACTGTCTAGTTAACTATTTTCTTTGATTGTGTGACTTGCTTTTCGCAAAGTTCTTAAGATTTATTGTAGATTTTTTAGGTAAAAAGCCAGGTTGCCGTTTGCTTAGACGGAAGTAGAACATGGCATAAAATAATTTCAAAAACTTTGCTAGGAGCACAAACAAGCACTGCTGGTCTATACTGGACAAATTTTAATTTTTTTTCCATTGAGTAGGATATATATTTGGCTTTAGTAAGAATTGTACTATGTCTGGGCCCCTAGAAGCGCAAGATATCTCTGTCAATCATTTGACCGAGGTAGTTTTTACTTGATGAAAATCCATTTAATGCAATTAAATTAGAACAAAATCAAATAAAGACACGTTATTGCCGAAACAGCTGTCATAAACGAGTGAATAACTGTGAAAATATGAACATTTTTTGTTTCCATTGAATTGTGCTCCGTCACTCACTTTACATATATCCAAACGTGAATGAATCAGTTCAAATTATTGTGTTAATAATAATAAACATTTATCTCTTCCAGCTTCAAACTGCTCTCGTTCCTCATGTTCTCAATGTTCCGATGGTGAAAGTTGCAGCAGCGAGGAGCAGTTCAGTAAAACAAACATAAACTTAGAGTCAGGGAACCATAACGGTCAATATGTCTCTCCTATTACTGAAAATATTTTGACGACCGATTTTAATCATGCCATTCCCACCACTTATAAAACTGCGGAGAAAGATCCCGTGGATAGGAAGAGTAACGACTCTCACAAATTCAATTTCGCGCCGAGGGCAACGTACGTTCAATCACCTCGGGTAAGTCGGAGCGGAATCGACCAGGTAAAAAAGAACGTCTTCCACAGGCTTTTCTATTTTGCAGGTCCCAGAGAGTTTCGTAAAACTGTCTCAAGTGCCGACGCCTTCGATTCCGCCTTTACCGTTCCATAGTGCTTTAGGAATACCCTACATTCAACAATACGCGGAAACCATGTTCAGTCCGCACCAAATAAACAATACAAACTATATCGGAGGCACCAACTGTCCAACACCAGCGACATATGCCGCATTTAATGCAAGCAACAGTGTAAAAACCAGTTTCACTTCGATCAACAAGTTGTTGCCCCCGCCCCTGCCCACCGTCTCTATTGGCTCTGCCTATCAATCGATCGCTTCCAGCTCTTCCTCGAATTTGACCAACGACCTTATAAATTTAGGCGGTTTTCCTTTGTTGAGCGGGAGTAGTCACCCATCTGTCGCAAACGCGACTAAGAAGAATCAACCCAAAGTGAAATTTTCCGACACGGTAACCGCTTTCATCGTTCCGGAAATTAAAAGGCCAGTACGACCGCCCCCTCCGCCTCACGTGACCGATCCCAAGAGAGAACTGGCGGAAAGTTTACCCTTGTGTCACCCGAACGAGGACTATTTAAAAGACTTTACGCCCGTGAGTCAGGAAGGGTCCGAGAGGATCGAGGACGACACGCCTCAGCCTAAAATTAAGGTCGTACACTTTGGCGTGGTATGACAAAACTGTGTGCGTTGATTTTGACACTTTTTGAATCTCAATATTGGGTGGGTTCAGGTTGTTCACTCTGTGTACTCCGAATAACTTGAGACATTCTATTTGTTGTGATATGGAGTGGATAATTTGTTCGTTTTGCGATGCATATCACCACATTCTTTCTATGGTGACAATAAACGATAACAAATGTCGTATTTATCGGTTGGTTTCATGTTTAAGGTATTACGTTTAGAAAATTTTTATTTATAAAATGTATTATGAAAATAAGCAAAGCTACGCATTTCATAGTTGTAGATAATGCCATCCTAGCGGTGCCCTTATATAAAGAGATAATGAAAAAGGGAATTACATTCTTCATTATCTTCGTCGCCCATCATTATTAATAAAAATAGATGATAAAAAAACCAAAAAACTGGTTGTGTTTGGGAAGCACAAATACAATACACAAAACAGCTGTTTAATATTTATATTTATATGGGTTCAGGACTTTTACACTCTACATTCTTCAACTCCACTCCAGCTCTGTTTTTGTTAGCCGAACCCACCTATTGGCATTGTCATTGGCTATTGACTGTAGGGTTATTCTCAGAGGACAATTCCATAACAAAATTCATATTCATACTACTCATTCAAAAATTAATGTTTTTTTACATGGGCAATAAAATTGTTTTAAAAAATGCAAAACTCTACCTTTTAAGAGAAATGTATTGTATTAAAAGCCCAAACGGCAGTGTTATAATACAGGAGGATACAAAAATATCGCAAGAAATTTATGCTGATAGTACTGGAATTATGTTATTATTTAGAGGTAATACTTTACAACTTATATTTTGTCTCGTAAATATATATTTTTAGTTTTTCAAAGGTCCTTTTTTAATTTCAATGAAACACCAGCGGTCATTTTAAAGTTTATTAAATTATAAATCTTATACAACCTTTAGGTGTTTATTGCTTAATCTTTAAAAGTTTACCATATCTGACCGAACTGATATCCCAAAAACAATAAGTGTATCAGACAAAAGTCGGCATCCTTCGTTTGAGTTTTATTCGGCTGCCGCCCTTATTTGCGTTTCCTTAAACTCTTTGGATAATACAAAAATTATTTTCTATACACTCTGCGTATTTATTTCTTTACACTAACAACTCTTAAAGCGATTATTTTGCACAAACTTTCAAAGAGGAGAGGGGGAAGGAGTTTGACTTTCAATTTTATTCTAAACTGTCACCACAAGACCAAATCGGCGCTGCGTTAATCAAGAAGATAATTTTGTCCAGTTGAATCAACAAATACGAAAATTTTTGGTTTTACAATTCAGCAGCAGCAAGTACGGAATTATTCAGATAATGATTATGTATATTTTAACACCAATTTATTGTATCAATATGCAGACCCAACCAAAACGATTGGAGTGTTGATTTTTTAAGTATAAGATGGCGTCAAAATATAGTAACGTTTACAATTATTGCAAACTCATCTGCAGAGAATCCGTTTATTCATGGACTTAAAACAAGAACTGATAATATCCTATAACCTACCGAAATATATTGATTTAACCTTTTTCGTAATAATATAAAGAATTTCCAAATACAAAACATACAAAATATAATTGATATATTTTTATAAATCTAATGTTACCACTTAAAAGTAATTTGATAGGTACAATAAATTAAAAAATGGCGTCTATACGACACCCCTTCGCGCAACAAAAAACTGATGGTTTAATTTCGTGACGGAGTTTTGGCAAAAAGCCTCGCCGACCCTTAATAATAATAGCTTTAAAGAACACTTTGATGAGATACAGCTACGGGCCGGCCGTGGCGACAGGCCCGTCAGTCTTAAATTTAAAAATCATGTTGAGGGCAAGAGCCAAGTCCCGTAAACAAACGCTCGTCGACCTATCCGGTTGCAAGTCTGAGAAAGTCCGGTAACTTTGAAAATAATAATTACACTCGCTGACTGACGTGCTAAAAGCTTATTCGTTAATTTGTTAATTATTGATTCTACATGTTTTACGTTCGGTTGAAAAACTGGCCCTTAAATGTGTTGTTCTACTATCTTGTAGGGTAAAAAGCTCACTGACTTACCAACTATCAACAGATAAGATAGGAATTTATTGTACTTGTATTGAATGATTCGCTGTTTGACGCCCATAAAAATGTATATTTGCAATTGACCGAATATCCCAAGGCAGTTCCGTCAAAGACATAAAATATGAAAAAAAAAAACTCATTTTTGAACTGTTGCAGGGTCAATCTTCTGGACGATTCTGTCATTCCAAGAAAAATGTATATCAAAAAAAGAAAAAACATTAGTACCAAGAAATTTTAGCGGATTGTGAAAACCAAATTGGTGTAAGTCAGGTATTAACATTGAAATCAAATGCAAACTATAATACTAAAACGGCATACAATCGCAAATGTCAAATTTGTGGGTCGAAGTATTTTCTTCCCGCCTCGTCAACGACATAAACCAAGCGCCGCGCCGCGCCAGTGAGCTTTTATTCCCAAAACCGTTGACGACATGAGACCCGATCCGCTCGCAAAAAAAAAAACTCCCAAGACAAACTTCACAACAGAGACACTAGATAGAGTTACTTCCACCCGACAAAGTAATCGTCGCGTACTCTCAGAACAACAGGAAAATTAGTCTGTCTAGCATTACCTCAACACTCTGCTCCTAGCTGACGCCGATCGGCTTGGGCACTTTGTCTTTTGGGCCCCAGACCCGGATCGTGCAGTCGTCAGACACCGAGACTAGCATACGAGGGTGGACCGGGTTCCACGACACGCAGTTGACTGTGCGACTGTGACCTTGGAGGGTTGCGATCGGCATTTCGTTGCGGATATGCCAGATATATACCTTAGTTTGATCGAAAGTGATTTTTACAATTCTAATGCTCACTAAGTTAACAATTGTAATACCCAACTTTTAAAACGCGAAAATAACTTTGCCGTTCGTCGAGAGGATGGCAGCACCATTCCGATTTTACGATATATAGTGGCTATGGTTACGCAGCCGAAACAAAGTCGTAAAACGACATAATTAATTAGAAACGGCCAAAACAATAAACGAAACCAAATTATTAACACCGCACATATTTTCCACTTAAAAATCGAAGGCGATAAGCCGCTGTCGGACAACCCTGTAAATCAGTAAATTATACATCATACGCGACCCTATATACCAAAAAAAAAAAATTAATTATGCTGCCATTTCTCGGACGAGAATTCTTTGGGAAAGTTAACAAACTTTTTCAAAGGGTTTCTTCAACTCGTAAATTATTTATTTTTATTTTATTATTGATTTTATCATTTTTATTTATTTATTAAATAAATAAAATAAATAAATAAATAACTCGTAAAGCTAAAATGAACTGAACGCTTTCTGACGGGCGACTTTTTGAAGCCAAAATCGGCTACAAAACAATCGCTACCTGCCATTGGCATTTAAAAAACTGTGTAAAATCGATTCCTATATAATATATAACACCGTTTCCGAATCTTCTAGATTCCTCCTGCGTCAGTTATTTCGCCAATCATCCTGTTAGCTTCTTCAGAGCTTAGCTGAAACTGTTTTGTAGTCTACTCTGTATCTGGTTATATAGCTAAAGGGGGTACAAGAAAATTGTTGTTATATATCGGTTATTTGGAGATTTCTTTGCCGCATATGCAAGGAATGCTCTAAACTGATGTCTCAAACGGAATTTTGTCTTTGAAGGATCGAAGATGTCGAAACATTTTTGGACAACTGGTAAATGCGGTTTTAAGATTATATTTCTTAAGAACTTTTGAATGTAAGGAAGGACCGCAGTGGCACGTGTGGAATTACTTTCGGACTAATTTTCTTCGGGATGTTCAATATTTAGATGGTCATTCGCAAAATCTCCGCGATTTTCTACTTTGCCGTCTTTGCAGGAGGAATACAAAGTAATGTTAAGTAATACCCATGCTGCTACTGACCGCATTTTATCGTTCAGGTAACCACAAATAGTCGCCGCATTTTCTAGTCTATCGAAAGACAGGATACAGCCATTGCTGCTGTCCACATCAGCTTCAAAAAGTCGCCTACCAGAAAGCGGTCTTACACCTTCACAACTTGTCAAGTTATTTGTTTTTGAATTAATACACAATAAACTTCGTATCAATTGTATGCCAACCAAAACCAGGCAACTGTAAAGGTACAAAAATCTTTGTGTATTTTGTTTATTGCAAATTGAGTCAAAAAATGTGAGTGTAACGGTGTTGTTACAGGTTACCTGATTATCTTCGCTACCGCTCGCTATAAAGTTTTGATTGACCCCGCCGAATGTCGAGTGAATGGTGAAGTGACCCTGCGTCACTCCCTGATATCTGCGCACTAGGCATTTGTCGTTGAGGTCCCACAGGTGAACTCCCTGCGTCGCCACGTTGAGCAACGCAAGCCGGTCGTTTTTGTCGACGGTAAACGTCATTATAGGATGGTCTTCCTGTAATCTAGCATCGAAAATGAAAAAAGAATAAAAAAATGTACTTCACTCAACCCATGGCATATTAACTCAATATAATAAAGTAACCGTAGCTTTCCGCGAATTCCTAATTAAAAAATAAGAGATGGCGCTGGCAATACCACTTCAACTGAGGATCCTGCGATGGCACCACTAGGAACCAAAAGTTTCCTTGACTAATTCAATTCAATTGTTGAACTGAGGTGGCTTTTACTTGATGAAAATCCATTTATCAAAATAAATAAGAACTAAAAGTTCAGATTCTCACGAAATTATGTATTATGACATGGCAATTGTTTCGGCAACACCGTGTCTTTATCAAATGTAATATTTTCAAACTACCTACTACTATATATACCGAAAAATTACATTAAAACCTTAATTAATGTTGTGAGAATTTAAGTTTAATAAGAGATATTTAAATCTAATTGAATATTAAGCAATACATTTGAATATCTCATTTTGTTAATCTCCATGACTTCCAATAAATTTAATTTTCTACTTTTTGTAGCTGTTTGTAAAATATCAAAGTTGTCGTCAAAAATGTGTTTTTCTGTGTTTTAAGTGCGTAGCATAATTAGAATCTGAGCTATTGTTTCTAAACGCTCTTATGTTCGTTAATGCGTTTCTTGAAGGGTCTACCTGTTTGTCCAATATAAATTTTAGGACAAGATACACATTTTAATCTACACCTGATTGTGTTGTTAGTTCTGAAAGCTATTTTTAAACCACATTTTGACATATGTTTTGAAACTTTTTCATTAGGTTCTCCTATGTACGTAAAAATTGTTCGTGTTCTGTATTTGGTTTCGGATAAATAGAGTTTACTGTTGTCTGGATTTGTTTTTTATTCATAATTTTATCTATAATGGACGGATTGGAGCCGTTGTTCAGTGCAATTTGTTTAATGACATTAAGTTCTTTGTTGTAATTTTCTATTAAGAGTGGCGTATTAAGAAGTCTGTGTATAATGTGCATTTAACTCTTTTATACACAGACTTCTTAATACGCCCCTCTCAAAAGAAGATTACAACCAAGAACTTAATATCATTAAACAAATTGCACTGAACAACGGCTACAATCCGTCCATTACAGATAAAATTATAAATAAAAAACAAATACAGACAACAGTAAACTCTATTTATCCGAAACCTAATGAACAATTCAAAACAATTACGTACACAGGAGAACTTAGTGAAAAAGTTTCAAAACATTTGTCAAAATGTGGTTTAAAATTAGCTTTCAGAACTAACAACACAATAGGAAAATTTTTAAAAAACAATAAATCGAAATGTCCAAAATCCCAAAAATCACGTGTCTACAGGTTGAAATGTGGATCTTGTCCTAAAATTTATATTGGACAAACAGGGAGATCCTTCAAGAAACGCATTAACGAACATATAAGAGCGTTTAAAAACAATAGTCTAGATTCTAATGATGCTACACACTTAAACACAGAAAAACACATGTTTGACGACAATTTTGATATTTTACATACAGCCACAAAAGTAGAAAATTAAATTTATTGGAAGCCATGGAGATTAACAAAATGAGACATTCAAATGTATTGCTTAACGATGAATTAGATTTAAATACCTCTCCTTTAACTTAAATTCTCGCAACAATATTAATTAAGGTTTTATGGTCATTTTTCGGTATATATAGTATTAGGTAGTTTGTAAACATTACATTTGATAAAGACAGGGTGTTGTCGAAACAATTATCATGTCATAATATATAATTTCGTGAAAATCTGAATTTTTAGTTCTTATTTATTTTGAATTCAATTGTTGTGCAATGCGTTACGGCTCGCTCATTTGCTATTTGTGGTTTCATTTTCTAAATAATTTTAGCATTTTCACTGCTAATTACGAAAAGCAATTCTATTCTTTTTTATAGACGGGGCAGAAAATATTAGTAATGATATCAGTTAAAACTAAGTTAGCTGTTTAGCTAAGTGGTAAAATCGGACCAGCAGGAGGCATCATATCCCTTCGAAACTTATTCAAGTTATGACTAGAAAGAGGTAACCACAAATGTCATGAAGTTTAGACAGTAGAAGTGTGATTGTCATTTTATTCTCATTAAATTGCAAGAAAGGAGAGTCATTACGAAATAGCAGTTCCTTATCCCAGGCGAGTTTCTATATATATTAGGGTTATATTGCTATTTAAGTTATATTTGGCAACATAACATTATAAAGATTTACAGTCTGACTCAACAGAATGAAGTTTAATAATATTTACACTTCTTGGTATATCTCTTAATGCAAAATTTTAAATGTTTTAATAAGTAGTTGTTTGGATACCACCTATTTATTAACTTTTTTTACAGATTTAAATCATCATTTGAGAAAGTTAGTTTTAACAAAACATTACATGGTTATTGTAGAATTAAAAGTTATTTTGTTTATTTATTACAATGAAACAAAAGATAATTATCCAATCCAATTATTACTGACATTTTAAAATAAATAGGACTAACAAGAGACGTTACTTTTTCAATGTTATAGGGCGGTAAATGCCAGTTTCTAGTCTACTTTAGTCTGTGGTTTGTGATTCAACCAGAATAAATATGCTTTTCCGTTACTTGTATGACACCTATATCTTTGCTTTTAATTCAATAATGTGGAATATAATTCAGTAGTGTATATAAAGCAAAGAGCACTAGTGAGTTATAAGTCAAAGCTCACTAATGAGTTATAAGTCATAACCCACTAGTGAGTTATAATTTATAACTGCAGAAAGATAACTTCATTAGACAATTGCATTTTTTCAAAAGGGCTGTTTTTCAACAAATATTCCATTAAGATATTAAGGGACATCAGAGTGTGTAGTTAATAACAATATCCTGAGAGCTGGACATTAAAGACTCACATATGTTGGTCGATGAGATCATCAAAGACGTATTCCCTGATTCTGTGGTGAGAGTCCGAGGCTAAAACGGTTTTGCCATCTTTACGGTAACACAGCCCGCTGACGCGAACGCCCTCCCACGAATCGAGGATATGGCCCTCCATATCACATTGGTAGAAGTGGCCCCTAACTCCGCCAGCCTTCAACAGCGCATTGAAGTTTAGTTTTGCTACAGTTGAAGCCCGACTACTATACCCACCACAAACTTTGTTCCATCTTTGTTCCAAGCGCAACAAGTTAAGGCATCTTCGGGTGACTGAGATACTTTAAGAAATTTCTCCGTTTCAATATTCCACAGCCATACTTCGGGACTCTCCTCAGGCCCACAAGCCAACAGGTGTTTCGAGTCCGGATTCCACGATATGTAAGCGGCACCTGTAAAATTGCCACCTAAAGGTTTGCAGGTTTGATTAGCTACTCTCCATTGGCCATAACTCTAGATTTTTACACTATATATATGAATAAAAAGGACACGAGAAGAATTTCCTCCAAATGATAACTACATTACCATAATTGTGACCTTCCAACACTTTTTTCAAACTGAGGGTGCAGGAGTCGGGGTTGACGTTCCAAATTATTACGTTGGTGTCTTTAGAGCCAGTGGCCAACATGGTACCGTCAGGGGAAAATTCGCAAAACCACACTTCGTCACAGTGGTCGTTCAATACCTAAAATGGAGTAGATCTGGTAGAACCAAGGGGAGGTGAAAAGAAAATAGGTTTAAAAAAACGCATTATGCTAATTATTTCAACTGGGTACCTGTATAGTGTGCACAGGAAAATCATCATTGGAACAACAATGGTCAACTAGCAAAGAAATATTATTCAACGAAATGTCCTGAGATGTGTTGTGGTGAGTGCAACGCAAAGTCTGCAACTCCAACGCCTGATTTAACAGTTCGTAAAGTCTACTCGGCGGAAGCATCACGCTGGGCGGCAAAAAAGACTGAAGTTTAATCATTAGAGTGGCCCGAGACTTGCCACCTTTTCCTTCCCTAATCACATTATCTACGATTACCGAAGAAAAATAATATTAACTATCGGGTGACATTACCAATTGGTTCGCTCATGCAGCTCCTCAGTATTTGAACACATCATGAAACTGGACAGTTGATGCACCCTTGCAGTGTTGTGCTGCAAGGGTGTCAACTCATTTCGCAACACATGCAAGGCATCCAACACGCGCCCGTCCTCCAAATACTCCAAATACTTTTGTTCGAGTAATAAAAACTTCATATCCTAATACAAAACAGATTGTACACAGAAACGGAACTATGGTTTAGTTGTGAGATTACCAAAATGTTGTTATTTTGGCCTAACAGTGGTCTAAGTTCCTGCAAGTCATGGTCTGCCTTGATCCAATCTCCGTCCATAACGTGCTGACGAAACTTGGCGGCAGCAGGATGGTCTAAACGGCATCCCGATTCATTCATTAAAGATTCGCATGTCCGACTGCAATTTAAGCAAATCCCGCTGACACAAGCATCAATCAGGTTTGGTATTGTTTACATGATTTAACACTTTTCATCTAAAAATACTTTTTCTTTTGTTTTACTTTAATTGTTTTTTTCTATTATTATTAAGAGATCTATGCATGAAATAACAGCACCGCAGAAATATCCCGGCGTGTTGTTAATAGAAGCAAAAAAAATCATAAAAAGTCTTTAAAAAACAAATTAAAAAAAAATCTTTAGAACAAATCAATTTCCACCACTTACTTAAGTCCCTCATTACTGAGATACTGTCCAATAAGCCTCACAATTTCCTGCGTAGTGTGGCTTAGATTAACCCCGTTGGCGGCTTGATCCCCGTGGCCATCATCAGAACAAGAAGGGGCCCCACCATTTTGCACACAACCATTGCTAGCAGTCTGCTGTTGCATTTTATCCTGCACTGGCTGACTCTGTTTGCGGGCCTTCTTACGCGGAGGTTCACAACCACCGTCGTCTCCCGACGAGTCACTATCCAGAGTTATTTTTGCTGCGCGTTTGGCTCCCTTACTTTCCAGCTTTGATGACGGACCAGCAGATCTTTGTTTTCCCTGCTCCGTCGTTTTCGCAATTACGTCATTCACGTCGAAAAAAACAATTTAACGCGAAACCATCTTCATCTGCATAGAGATTATTAATATCGTCAGTTATAAATAGATCTAATTTATACAGCGATGCACATACGAACCACCCAAAAACAAACATCAGCTGAACGGCCAAGCTCAAGCCCTAAAACAGCTGGCTAGTGTTGTTTTGTTGACCTCGAAGACTACGGATTTCATTCGAGAATGAACGGATCGGGAAATCGGTTTTCTGTCTTTGTCGTTGTCCAATGCGCCTGCTCGAAAATTGCGACAAGAAAAGAGCTATCTTTCCGTCACGTGATACTGACAAGCCGGAATCCGCAGTTTACGTATAAATTCATATCCTTAGGGACATTAAACTAAGGTGGCTTTTACTTGATGAAAATCCATTTATCAAAATAAATAAGAACTAAAAGTTCAGATTTTCACGAAATTATATATTATGACATGACAATTGTTTCGACAACACCGTGTGTTTATCAAATCAAATTTTCATTTTCATATTCATTTTCCTTAGGGATAGATTGGATACAGGTGATTAGTAAATCCCTACCAAGTCATTAGTTTTCACTTAACTTCAATTGGGTTCAATGGAAGAGAAATTTTGAAACTGAAATATTAAAGTTTCGAATTTAAGGTCAATTAATTTTAACATGGTTTAATAAAAACAATTACTGCAAAAATTGTAACATTGTCCGAGCATCAAATTTGTTCACCATTGACCCTGTTCACTTGAATATAAAGTTTATAAAAAAAACAGTTCCGATAAAAAAAATCACCATACGGGACAGACCAACAGGACCTCAACATTCCATACGTCAAGATGAAATCCATCAACTTCCGAAAATTCCCACTAATTTTGTTTCCATTTTGTCCATGTTTCTATGTTCAGGTTCCGGTGATTCAACTTCTAACTTTGCGTTTATGTCCCTTCCAGTCGAGAGGTATAAATGTTATGTGTAATGTATTCTGTGGTGGGAGCATTGCACACGGCGGTTTAACCTCCGTTCGCTCCCGACAGAATCCCTTGTATTCGTCCCAACAAGTTTGATATCGGTTTCCACGGTGTGGATTTAGTGTTTTGAGTGTTCAGTGTACGTTTTAAAGTGATAATTGTCGTCGACCCCGTCGTTTTTCCCTGTTCACGCCGGTATGGAGGCCGGATGGGCCCGGATGGTCCGCGGTGGAAGCGGGGGGAAGCCGATTTTTTTGGTATCGGTCAGAATCGTTTTTTGCTAGCTGAGCAAATTGGTTATTCTTCTTCTTTGTACGTGGTGGTCATTGACCAGAAGCGAAATCCTCGACGGAAGTCGGCAATGGGCGAATGATCCTAGCAGTCGAGCCCAACATTTTTGTGAAACGCATAATTGAATTGAATTGTATTCTGTGGTAGTGTCTTGAGTTTCTGAGAGTCGCCAGAGAGTAGTCGTCAATACTGTCATATATTTTAATTTAAATTAGCATTGGAGTGAATTAATTTTGTGGTTGAGTTTTACATGCCTTTTATTATTTTGTTTTTTATTTTTATTAATTTTTAGAGTTACAATGGCCCTACCCGCTAATTACAAGCAAGTGGCGGTTCAAATGCCCAGTCCACCAACCTCAAATCGTAAGATGATCTTTTAAATTTTTTCATTTATGGAACCATACAAAACCGCGTATAACGTAGTTTGACAGTAATTTGATCGTATTAATTAGTTTAAAGACTGGAAAATTCAATTAGAAATTACTATTTGACCGGCTTGCGTTCGCATGAAGTATTTGTTTTCAGATATTGAAAATATTGTTTTCAGATCTTGGGGGGTTTCTTGGAGGGTATTACGACATCATTCTGGCACATTCTTTCGCAGAATGATTTCTTAAAACCCTAATCAATTTAAGCATGTTTTAAAATACTTATTGATGAAGCTGTAGTATGGATAAATTGTAGTGCTTCTCTTGTTACCTTTTTTAATTGCTACAATTCATCTATATTCTGTAGAATAGTGCAATGATATATGCTTTGTTTGTGTTTGTTGTTCAGATTTGATGTCGGCTGGTGCGCCCATGACTTTCAACATTTTAAAAGGTAACTTGCCTTTAACTACTGTACTGATATTCTAATGCTCATAATATTCGTAAAACTTAACTTTTAAGGAGTTATTTTTAATACTTGCTTAGAGCTCTACTCGCCACTAACACTAATATTATATCAACATTGTCTTGTCTACAGTAGATTTAACATTTTTGAAATTGTTATACCAAAATTCATTTTATTTAAAAGTAAACTAAAATTAAAAACTGCCATGTCAAAGGGTTCTTTAGGGTTATAAGAAATTAGTATATAATGTTGGTTTGGAGTAATACTTTCAGATTGTAAAATTGTGAGTTTACAGTATTTTAAATTGTGACCTTTGGGTCATGTTGTGAATATCTTAAATAAACTGAAAATTATTTTTTAAGTCATATTCATTTGTGTTTGTATATTTCCATTAAAAGAAATTATTATATTCACAATCACAATTTAGTTGAGTCAACCTTGCAGTAGCTGATAATATTTACATAATTTTTTCTAACATTTAGGCATTAAGTATAGTTCATGCTAATAATAAATATGGAAACCACAGGTGAGTTGTCATCAATGTATTATGCACAATTGTCTTTCTATTTGTGTGTCATTCTAATTTTTGTCTCTTATAGAGAGACTAAGAGCCTCCGGAAGTTCCAGCTCAAGTGCAAACGTAAGTTGTGCATGTTTTATGAATTATATCAATGAGTAATTTTTTTTTGCAGAAGGAAACAAATCCTTTTGTTTCAACTCCCAATGGTAATCCTAGTTTTGTACCTCAAAAGGCTGGAAAAACTACTGCGGTAACTTGCGATTAATTAATCTGATATATTTAATATATTTGTCCTACTTAGAAAACCGAAGCCAAAACTCCCAAACCACCTAAAGCGCCTGAAAAACCGCTGATGCCGTACATGAGATACAGTCGCAAGGTGTGGGATGCAGTGAAAGCTCAAAATTCGGATTTAAAGTTATGGGAGATTGGAAAAATTATTGGTCAAATGTGGAGAGATTTGCCAGAAGAGGAAAAACAAGAATTTGTTGAAGAATATGAGCTTGAAAAGGTTCTCAATGTGATTTGTTACAAGCATAAATAGCAATTGCTTTTATATTTCAGATTGAATATGAGAAATCTCTAAAAACATATCACAATTCTCCAGCATATCAAGCTTATATTGCAGTGAAAAATAAAGGAAAATCAGGTTGGTCTGGTGATGCATAATGGCATTTTAAGCTTTTGTTTTATTCATTTCTGACAACATAACACATTTTCATCCTCACCTTAACAACTAATTTTAGTTGTCCAAGGTACTGATGGAGAAACTCACGAGAGAGCCAGTGGATCTTCGAAACAACAGGCTGCTGATCGCAGAATTGAAATCCAGCCTGCTGAAGATGAAGATGGTAAGTCAAAATTGACTGAGTTAATAATAATGTTATTTATAATTATTACATGAAAGAAACAACCAGCCATGTATGTTTAATTTCATATTACATTTTTTAATTTTAACATATTTAATTTGCGTTAATTTCTGATCAGATCAAGATGACGGGTTCTCAGTAAAACATGTTGCCTATGCCAGATATTTGCGAAACCACCGCCTGATCAATGAAATTTTCTCTGAATCGGCTGTGCCCGACGTTCGTTCCGTTGTGACAACACACCGCATGCAAGTTTTGAAGAGGCAGGTACAGTCCTTGACAATGCACCAAAAAAAATTGGAAGCTGAGCTGCAGCAGATCGAGGAAAAGTTCGAAGCTAAAAAGAGAAAATTTGTTGAAAGCAGTGAACAATTTCAAGAGGAATTAAAAAAGGTTGGTTGTTGTTTTTAATTGCTTACCTTTGTCGGAAGTTTGTGCATTTTCAGCATTGCAAGCCAGCTGTTGATGAAGAGACATTCATGAAATTGGTAGAAAGGCAGTATGACGTTTTAAAGAAAGAAAGGCTAAAAAGCCAAGATGAGAGTAAGAAAATTGACGAGAACGGCACTTCCGACAATTCGAATGCCTCATTGACAGAGAGTGGACATAACCAGGAGGTGTGTACCAATAACGTTGCATTCTTGTTATATTCAGTGTTGGCTAATGTAGTCTCCCCTTGTTTTGTTTGTGTTGTTATACCTACACTCGTCTTGCAATTTGCTAGACTATGTCACAAGAATCAATGGACACTTCCCCATCTGTACCAGCAGCTACTGTAGTAAATGGTTCCGCTCATCTCATGGATCAGTCTGAGAAACCTGAACAAAGTCCCCAGCATACAGTCTCTTTTACCCCTCACGTTGCAGAACAGCACCCGTCACCTCAGCCACCCCCACCTCACACGATATCTAGCGAATCTCAAGGCCATGGTCCTGTAGGACCAAATATGCCCCCGCAGGTGCCACCCGCATCTCATACGAACCCTGGGGTAGGTAGTCTTTGTATTTCTAGTGAATATTGAACAGGTGTTGCTGGTACAAATATCAAGTAAGGTTCATTTAATGTAAATGTCAGACGTAGGGTAACGTCCCATCGAAGAGATTTATTTCAGTTTGAAAATGATTGAAAATTATGTCTAGGTTCATACCCATCAGCACCCACCACCTATGGGCGGAACTCCACACCCTGGTCATCCGGCGCACATGCAACCAAGCGCATCATTACAACCCCCCCCAGCGCAAGCCCCACCCTCCCATCAAAATCCGATGATGCCACCTGCGCAAGTCCCTCAGTACCAGCATCAGTATCCACCAGGTACACCTCCCCAGCAGGGAGTTCCTTTGCCTCCTAGACCTCCCCATTCCGGTTATGCAGGCTATCCAGCTCAGCAACAAGGTTATCCACCACATCCGCAGGGTTATCCAACACAGTATCCACCCTATGGGCATTATCCCCACCAGGCATATGCCCAGTATCCACAGCACATGAACCGACCCCATCCATATCCCCCTCATGGCGCAACTCCGGATGGGCAACCATTAGGAATTAATGAACCAGGTGCCATGTACGGCGCAGGAGGAGTGTCTGCTGAGAGCGATAGAGGTAGCGAAGAAAGGGCTTCTGGTCCTCACGATGATGGTGGAAAAGGTAAAACTACTAACTGATCTGACACATTTATTTTAGGTATTAATATACTGTTTTAGCAGGTAAACGGGAAAGCGGCTCTGACAAGGAAAAGGAGGACAAGTGAGGTTCAATAGTAGATTATTAAGGTCATAAATTAAGGTGATGAAGCATGTAGCAATCATAGAATTTCATAATATCCACATTGTTGTCTAAAGTGTTCTCGGGCTTCTATTTAGTTTTCTTCTTAATATTATTTAGGTAGGGATGGTGGATTCAATGAGGGAATGAATGTATCACTTTGCATTTATCTATCCTTTCGAGCATAGAATTATAACCTATAAAGTATGTATTTTTTATTGATTTAATCATTAATTTGCGAAAATATAAAGACGTAGGTTTGGAAAATTTTATTTGTTTTATAGATTTCAACTTCCTTTTCCTTTTTCAAATTTCTGGACAAATTACATTATAGAGTGCAGTTACAATTTATTTTGGAAAGGATCGAATAAACACTTAAATAATTTAATTATTTATTACATTAAATTTAAAATTACATGGCCACAAAACATTAATATCTAAAACTAATCTAATAATTAAAGAAATGAAAACTCATACATCTTGAAACAGAAGAAAAGTGATCGAATTTTCTTTATGAAACAGTACGAAATAGATTTTATTACGAACATCGAACACACGTCCATGTTTAGGTAAAATTTTTCTGTCCTAAATATGGTCTACTGTATTTTTATTGAATTAATTCTTAGACACCCCTAAGTCTGTACACATTAAGCTATATTTATAATTCTTAAAGCTTGTTCAATTAAAAAATAAAGAATGATTGAAGTAAAACCTTTCCAAAGAAGTAATGAAAAATGAGATTCACAAAGTAATTTTGATATGACACACGTCGTACAGTTACAAGCCTATCTTGGTAAATTCACTCTCCTGGAACATACTATCGTCACCGACAGTTTGTAACCCACATTTTAATAAACCCAAGTTAACGTATTTCCGTTTCTGAAGGAAATTATTCAAAGATAGGATTGCAAAGCTATTCAGTTATTTATTGTGCTATATCAAAAATTGAAAACTTGCTTGCCAAATTGTATCCTTTACTCTAAAATTCCAAATTATCGGAAACTGTTTCAGTATTAAATGCGTTTCCGACGCGCGGATAACAATTTAACTTGCACCTCGAGTAATGAGTCGATTTCCCGAAGTCTATACAACTTTCGATATATCGTAAGTCGCCCAAAACTCCAGCAAAAACGTACGGTGAAGAGAGCTCTTTAGATTTGTAACAAAAATAAAACGACTTTGTACAAAAGCTGTCAAGTAACATGCGGTTACAATCTAAATTTTTATTAATACGTTATGGAGGGTACCATATAGTGTCTAGCTGCTAGGGCCGCGTATCGTAATTACACGCCATCAGTTTTAGCTACCTACCTATTCAATTTTTAAAAGCTACGCGCTCACGTATAATTACGGTACCGCGAGAGACCGATTACATAATATTAATACGTGGACTTCATATGCAAAACTTAATTACTTTCCCTATTAAAAGTATCCGTAATTTCCCAAAATATCTATATATACTTTTTTGCATATGTTGAATTATTATCAAGTTGCCTCAGATTATTTTAAGTACGAATGTCTAAAACGAAAAGAAGGAAAACGCGCAAGCAAAAACGACGCCAAAAGTTTATAGTTTCGGCGATTCTGCGGTCCGGGAAATTGAAAAACGACTAACCGAAATGGAATGATCGAATCACCCTACTCAAATAGCTCAAACTTAACAAAATATAAAAACCACAGATCTTAAAAATAATATCAGGAAATATACAAAATCAACAAAATCAAAAGTCCGAACACGTCGGTTTTTAATTTTTTTTTTTTTTTTAGACGGCTTATTCTTTTACCTCAAAGTATTTATAAGTCGGATTTTCATAACCGTTGATTTGCATGTTGGCGACGTGTCTTTCTTCGGGTGTGGCGGCTTGGTCCACTTCCACGAAGCCTTGGCTCTGAGGCGATCGGACCGATCTGCGACGTGCTACGGCGACTCCTACCACTATTGCCGCCATTAGTGCCATTCCGGCAAAGGCGAGAGTGAAGTACACGCTGCGGCCTTCCTTTCTACCATATACTTCTCGCCTCACTGAGTAACTCTTAAAAAAAAAAAATTTTTCCAATTTCTCAAGCCTTACTTCTTCAAGCTTAAAAACAAGTTAGTTTCGGATGTACGGAAAACATTTTCAAACGATGTCGACGCGGCGTGACCGTCATAGCATATGATTTTAAAATGATCAGCTGATCGTTAATTTCCTGTACAACGTTACCCCTACAATACGATAAATATCCTATATAATTTATTCAAAAAAGAGTACTTTTATATTTACATATATTTTTTTGAAGACATTGGTTTTCCTTTGGTACATATTTAAATAATTGTCAGTCAAAAAATATTAGAACTCAAAATTTCGCAATGGCCTAATGAATATATAGTATTAAGTTTAAATTGGTTATATATTTTTTCTGGAATTTTTATTTTCTGAACCAAATATAAACTTTGCTCGTCCTATTACCTTTTCAAAAAAATTGTCAAATTAAGGTCAAAATATTTAATATTTAAGAAAAGATGAAAATGCATATTAGCTCGTAAAATTTGACATTAGAAACATAATTTAAATTCCCCCAATTCTGTTCCAGATTCTCTTATTATCCGTTTGAAATAACATATAACAATATTTGGGAAACGTCAACGTCTACCGAAACCAAAAAAGTAGAAACTTACTGGTTCCCCGTGGCTGATATCATGCGACATAATATGAGCTACTTTGATAACGTCCTGTCGGTGAGCAGTGGCTTTTGCCACCTCCTCTACAGCCTCTTGTACCGCAACGTCGTCCACCTCTTTACGGTTAGTGGTAGCCGTAACGAAATTGCTAACCGCTTCGGATACGGTACTCTCGGCCGTGGAGCCAATGAATACTGGGGTCTAAACAACAAACACAAGATAATAAAAAAACACAAACACTTTTTAGCACTTACGGAAGGCTTCTCATCAGGAACAGATTCGTCTTCCATATCCTCGTCATCAAAATTACTAATCTTTTTGCCTAAAGCAGCTTCCACTCTTTTCTTCTCCTCTTTCAACTCCGCCCTTTCCTTTTTCCTCTGTTCCTTCCTCTCTTTCTCTTGGATTCTTTGTCGCTCTCTCTCCGCTTGCTTATTGGCGGTTTCGGATTTATATTTGTCCAAAATTGCCTGCTCGGCGTCCGCTGTCATGGCTAAAAGCGAACCGGGAGTTTCGTCTTTCGATCTCAAAGCCTGAATGTAGTCGTCCATCAGTTGACCAATTTTAGCGGACAGTTCCGGATAGCGTTTCAACATCTGCATACTTTGATTAACGGTCCGATCGATATCTGTTAAGCGTTCAAGAACTCTTGGCTGTTCTCGAGCGGCCGCTTCTATGCTACTGGCCAGCAGGTGGCGGTAGTGGCTGATCGCATGCGCGCGGTCTTTGTGAAGGGAACGAAGTAGTTTTTGCAAGCATTTTTGCACCCTATGCGTCTGAAAAAAAAAACTTCGCGGTCCTACACTCGCAACAGTCACAGCCAGTAGCTATCCGATAATATATTGATGCACCTCGGATGGTTATAACACCCAAACTTAAAAATGTTGGTTGTTGAACGCTGCTAAATTTTATTGGTTGAAAATGAGATTTGGAATGCCGGGTATGTGTACATTGAATGATCATTAGCAATATTTTTCATAGTGGTTTCAAAAATTCTTGTATTATCAGTATAGACAGGGCCTTTATGTTACTGAAATTGCATCATATAATTTAATCAATGAATCTCAAGGTTTTAACTAACCAAAACTAACTGTTCCAAGAGCTATTTAATTAGGTCACGTGTGGGTTAATGTCTTATTTGTTTACTATTTCTTATTCTTGTACCTATTTTAGCGCATCCTATACTCTTTTTGATACTTTTGTAGCTATTGAATAAACTGTCCTTGTTACTAATTAATTATAATCGGCGTAGTTTGTAAATAAATCATAACCCGAGTCATAACGGTGTTACCGCTTAGTTTTTTACCATAACCATGTGTCACGCACCAGATAAATAGCCAAAATAGGCTTTTGAAGTGTATTTATCGAAATTAACATGCAATATTTGTCGTTCTGAATAGAACAAAATATCGATTCGGCATTAAGGTTAGCTCCAGATTTACTAGTTAGATTATATGATCCTTTTATACTGTTTTTCAAGGAGCGTAACATCCTCAGTTTCGTAATTCGTATAAATGCCACATTCTCTGGTTATGTTTGATCTTCTACTCGCGCTGAAAGGTTGGCGATAATATTAAAAATAGATTACAATGAACGGGTAAAATACAAAATAACTAACAGAGCAAAAAAACTTACTTTTTTTGGGAACCCATTAGATATGCCATACTTAATGTCGGTTTATTTATTATTATATACATATAATGGAGCAAATAGTTTCAAAAACTGGGAATAAGATGCGCGCCTAAAGAATAATGGCAACCAGTTTGGCAAACTTCTCCAGATTCACTTTTGGCACAATCATTGTCGATTTTATAATTAAATTAGTTTAAAGTCCAAATAAGAGAAAAAAAAGGACGGTGGTGTTGTCATCCTAACATTACCAAACCAATTTTTTTTGCAACCATTAATAATGATTTGATAAATGCAAACCTCCATAAAATAGTCTGGCTCTTAAAAAGACTTACGTTTGGCGGATTTTCATTCAGGGCTTGAGTGTAACACGTCATGGCTTCCTTCTTTCTTTGATTAATATGCGCCAACACCCTTTGTTGGTGCATCGCGGCCAACTGATGCTTCTCGGCGTCACCCTCCTCTTCCAAAGCTTGAACGGTCTGTTGGAATCTCTGAGTCATTCTCTGCTTAAACTCGTCTGCGCCCCTGGGATCCGTCGATCGCATATCTTGGTATCGTTCCTCTAAATCGGACCAGTCTTTCATAACTCTAGTGACCTTCTCTCTGTGCGTTTCCTCGAGACGTTCCTATAAACATAAAAATAGTACTTGGAATCAACCGAAACCGGCAAATGCGTATTAAAAAATTTATACCTGCGCCTCCCTATAACTCTGATGCTCGTTTCTGGGATCGAAGTGAGTGAAATATGGATCCGGAGTAGCTTCCGTCGTGGTCCTCTGCGTAGTGGTGGTCGTACTTGTCGTCGTACTGGTGGTGCTCGTAGAAGACTTAAACGCGGTTGTTGTGCTTTGCTGCGTCGTATCCCAATCGGGGTCATCGTAATCGTCGTCGTCTTCGTCCTCATCGTCATCGTCATCGATACTAGGATCGTCGGCGAGCTCGGTATCGTCGGCAAGATCTTCCAAGTCGTCTTTGTCGTCGTCCTCGTCGGAATCGTCGGAATCGTCGAATGTGTCGGAGAAAACGTCTTGCTCTTTTTTCAGAATCGTCAAGTCAACTTGCTTTTTGGGTTTTACACTATCTGCAACCAGCGAACGATAAAATTTATTTACAACGATAATCAGATGTCGGATAAAATGCAACCAAAGACAAATCCTCATTCTAAATGGTAATCTCTCATTTATACTGCATCTTAGAAAGTAGGGATTCCTGAAAAGGACGACTGCCAGGGTATGGGATTCACAGATGATACAACTCGATTTGCATCGACAGTGGACTGAATGAACGTCTTTGGATACATAGGTTTGTTCCAACCTCAAACCACAAGTAGCTTTAGAACAACTTACCAACGACTTTCAACGAGCACGTCAGTCAGATTGTTTTTCAGAAGGGATTTAGGAAAATCGGTTGGAACAACTGTGTGTGAATTAAACTGCGATTTTACTATTGAGAACACTTCTTTAAATCTAGACTATACAAATAAATATGAAGCCTATTAGGTAAATCTTAAATAATTAACAAGTGGAAAATCACAAGAGCAAAACTAAAAAACAATAAGTGACAAACCTTTTACAGAAAAATTTAACCAGCATCGGGTTTCTAAAAATCAGATTAGCAACCTCTGTAACAATCCCTCAACTGGGAATCCCTTCTCATGATAGCGTAAAACTAGTTTAAATGAGAGTTATTTTACACAACATCTTCGAACAACTTCAATCGGATGTTACGAAAATGGCCCCAGATAGCAGCAGTATATTCTAACCTGAATCGACTCAAAACAAAATAAAGTAATATTCGTGCTTCATTTGATATAAAGTTCTTTGTATTTCTAGTAAGTACATATGATTAACAAAGCTTAATGTTTGATAGAAAACAATACGTAAATGTTAAAACTCTACATTCTGTGTATGTGACAATCTTTAATTAAATCTATCTAAAATACAGGCTGTGGTCGAGAATCCAGGAGTTTGTTAAATTGATTACTAAAATCTATTTTGTCACGGCTTAATAGAATTATATTAAATCTCTATCCGTTCAAGAAACATTAACGAGATTGGCGTATGGTCTGTCTCAAAATATATCGTCTTAGCTTTTGACATCAATCGAAATAACCTATCAATGGCAATAAGACATGTGATCAGTCGATATTTTAGGACAGACCATTAGGGGCGGACTTGTAAGATGTTTTGAAAATATAAAGAACAAAAATTATACTATGTTTATTTATGAATTTATGTATTAGTACTAATAAAAAAATCGATGACACTAAATTATCAAATTATCAATAATTACCTAAATCAATACGTTTTTATTGAAGATCTAATATTATAATGGGCTTTATGTCATTTTGTGTGTAATTGCATTTTTTTTCTCAATTTGTTTGGAATTTATTTAACGACAAGTGATTTCGACACTACATAGCGGACATCTACCTGAGTCGCTCCTGACCTATAAATAAATTTCTGGTTGTTAGATTTATCCAGTAATTATGAGGGTGGAGACAATATACTTTGAGTCAGACCGTGTTCTGACTGGAGTCGTTTGTTATCGGAGTAAAAGACAGTACTGGGAGAGTGCGCAACTAATTGCGAACCCCTCCATGTCGCAGGATTGAAAAAGTGGCTCTCAGTTTTAGTCACACAGGAGTACCAACATTCGCAGAAGCCCTGACACCTTCTAAGAAGGAACCTCCCCATATCATGTCAAAAATGGAGACAATATACTTTGAGTCAGACCGTGTTCTGACTGGAGTCGTTTGTTATCGGAGTAAAAGACAGTACTGGGAGAGTGCGCAACTAATTGCGAACCCCTTCATGTCGCAGGATTGAAAAAGTGGCTCTCAGTTTTAGTCACACAGGAGTACCAACATTCGCAGAAGCCCTGACACCTTCTAAGAAGGAACCTCCCCATATCATGTCAAAAGTGGAGACAATATATTTTGAGTCAGACCGTGTTCTGACTGGAGTCGTTTGTTATCGGAGTAAAAGACAGTACTGGGAGAGTGCGCAACTAATTGCGAACCCCTTCATGTTGCAGGATTGAAAAAGTGGCTCTCAGTTTTAGTTACACAGGAGTACCAACATTCGCAGAAGTCCTGACACCTTCTAAGAAGGAACCTCCCCATATCATGTCATATCAATTTGTAGATGAGAACACATGTAGGATGTGTTTACAAGGTGAGGAAACTTAAATTCATCTCTTAATCACAGTAAGAGGAGAAAGGTCTGGAGAAAAGGGGCTCTCAGTTTTAGTTACACAGGAGTACCAACATTCGCAGAAGCCCTGACACCTTCTAAGAAGGAACCTCCCCATATCATGTCAAAAGTGGAGACAATATACTTTGAGTCAGACCGTGTTCTGACTGGAGTCGTTTGTTATCGGAGTAAAAGACAGTACTGGGAGAGTGCGCAACTAATTGCGAACCCCTCCATGTCGCAGGATTGAAAAAGTGGCTCTCAGTTTTAGTCACACAGGAGTACCAACATTCGCAGAAGCCCTGACACCTTCTAAGAAGGAACCTCCCCATATCATGTCAAAAATGGAGACAATATACTTTGAGTCAGACCGTGTTCTGACTGGAGTCGTTTGTTATCGGAGTAAAAGACAGTACTGGGAGAGTGCGCAACTAATTGCGAACCCCTTCATGTCGCAGGATTGAAAAAGTGGCTCTCAGTTTTAGTCACACAGGAGTACCAACATTCGCAGAAGCCCTGACACCTTCTAAGAAGGAACCTCCCCATATCATGTCAAAAGTGGAGACAATATATTTTGAGTCAGACCGTGTTCTGACTGGAGTCGTTTGTTATCGGAGTAAAAGACAGTACTGGGAGAGTGCGCAACTAATTGCGAACCCCTTCATGTTGCAGGATTGAAAAAGTGGCTCTCAGTTTTAGTCACACAGGAGTACCAACATTCGCAGAAGCCCTGACACCTTCTAAGAAGGAACCTCCCCATATCATGTCAAAAATGGAGACAATATACTTTGAGTCAGACCGTGTTCTGACTGGAGTCGTTTGTTATCGGAGTAAAAGACAGTACTGGGAGAGTGCGCAACTAATTGCGAACCCCTTCATGTCGCAGGATTGAAAAAGTGGCTCTCAGTTTTAGTCACACAGGAGTACCAACATTCGCAGAAGCCCTGACACCTTCTAAGAAGGAACCTCCCCATATCATGTCAAAAGTGGAGACAATATATTTTGAGTCAGACCGTGTTCTGACTGGAGTCGTTTGTTATCGGAGTAAAAGACAGTACTGGGAGAGTGCGCAACTAATTGCGAACCCCTTCATGTTGCAGGATTGAAAAAGTGGCTCTCAGTTTTAGTCACACAGGAGTACCAACATTCGCAGAAGCCCTGACACCTTCTAAGAAGGAACCTCCCCATATCATGTCAAAAATGGAGACAATATACTTTGAGTCAGACCGTGTTCTGACTGGAGTCGTTTGTTATCGGAGTAAAAGACAGTACTGGGAGAGTGCGCAACTAATTGCGAACCCCTTCATGTCGCAGGATTGAAAAAGTGGCTCTCAGTTTTAGTCACACAGGAGTACCAACATTCGCAGAAGCCCTGACACCTTTTAAGAAGGAACCTCCCCATATCATGTCATATCAATTTGTAGATGAGAACACATGTAGGATGTGTTTCCAAGGTGAGGAAACTTAAATTCATCTCTTAATCACAGTAAGAGGAGGAAGGTCTGGAGAAAAGGGGCGCAACGTAGTTAAAAATGGGCTTGGTTTTGACGAGACCAAGAAATCCGACAATACATAAGCGCAACAATAATCGAAAAAAATGTTAAAGCATTCGTCCAACTATGCGAGCTTCATCATGACGAAACAATAGTAACGATTAGCTTCGATGCTGTGTCTCCATTTGATTGTGTTTTCTCTTCTTTTCTTCTTTATCTTTGTAATCCTTTGGAACGGTTTTGTTATAAAAATATCTTTTTCTACTCCCGTCTGTAAAATATCTAATTACACACCTATCTAGCGTGCGGTCATCTCCGGTATTTTACCGCACGGGTTTGGGAGCAATCGGATGTTTCAGGAGATATTTTCCACGCTTTGAATTTTGACGTTTGTCATTTCTAACGGTCATGTCAGTGAATGTATTCGTGTTGTTTTGCGAAAATGTACCCAAAAACTAACGGTCGTAGAAAAAGTGTAGTATGCAACTCGTTCGGTAAACTTTTTAAGTCACTCGTTTATTAAACAGTCGCCCCGCTCGTGTCAAATAAACTCGTGAGTCAAATGCCGTTTACCGCACTTGTTGCATAATATAGGAGGGGGTACCCATAAAAAACCGGAATTAAATTGCCGCGCGCAGAGCTTGTATAGTACTCCTTTCTGGCGTTAGGTTGTGGATAGTACAACTTATTGCGAGTTCAACGCCACCTTTGTTTTAAATTTAACTTGTTTTGTTCACTTGCAGTGCCATTTTTTGTTAACGCTGTTTTTTTGTTATTTCGTTTTTTTCGATGGCAAGTTTAAAAGAACAACGTGCGGCTGTGAAATTTTGTTTTCTGCTCGGTAAAAGTGCTGCTGAAACTGTTTCAATGTTAAAAACAGCTTATGGGCTCTGTGCGGGGGGCGTGGTCAAGGAAAAATTGGATGCCAGCGATCCTCGTGAGCGTCAGTCGAATCTTTGCACTCCAAATTTTCGTACACTCTAATGAGTAGTGTGATTAAAAGTGAAAATATAAATAATTTTAAACGGTTTTTAATTATAAATAAAAAATGGTTAGAACGAGGCGATCAGGAAATACTTGTTGTGTTCCTGTGTTAATGAAGACTTAAACAACAAAAAAATTTATAAATTCCCCACGCAAGGCTATAACCTCGAAAAGAGAGTAAAGTGGGTTAAAGCTGTGAAAAGAATGAAGTAAGTAAGACCATGATTATCCTAATAACTGATTCAGAATTTATTGTTATAGATTTGTAAAAATGATTATTCAATTTTCTGTAGTCGTGACGGAAGTTCTTGGGAACCTAGTTTAAGACCATATATTTGCAGTCAACATTTTGTAGGAGGTAAAAAGTCGGAGCATTCTTATAGCCCTGCATATCTCCCGACAATATTTCC